GGACGGGTGTGTGCTTTCATGTCCAGTTTTATTAGTGTTGCATTAGTACCATAAAATAGTTGACGAGGTCGAGCACATTGCAGTTTGTTCCAAAAAAGGCTATTTACATTTAATCTGTCTTCATAAAAAACAACCCTAGAACCCAAACAATACAACAATGAAACAGATGGACAACTCGAGAATCTACAAAGTGATGATGTCCTGGTCTGGACAAGCCTGGCGGCATGCAGCCCCAGGAACTGTGCTCACAGGGCGCTTCCCCACAGCCACCACGTATATGCAACTAAGCAGGCAACACACCCTGGCAGCTCTCCGGCCAAGGAGCAAAGCAGCAGCTTCCTGGATGTGGCCCCAAACTGGTGCTCTTCCTTAAGGAAGCCAGTGACCTGCTGCTTTGCAAGTGGCACGTCCCCTTTCGCCCCAGGCTGTCCCAAAGCACCCAAGTGATCCTGCAGGAGCCGGCCCTGCCAGGAACATCTCCCATGACAACACTGCCGAAGAGGCTCCAGGTGATGCTGCTGCTCATTTCTGGCCTTCTCCTGCCAGGTAAGCCTACAGGAAGTGCCACACTAAACACTACCATGCAGCCATCCACTGAGATTGAGCCTCCCCAAAGGGGACAGAGGCATTGCATCCTATCTTGCTTCAAGAAAGCTCCAGGACCCCCAGTCCATTACCACTGCATGGCAGGACTGTCCTAATCCCAGCCTTTCTGATCCCTCAGCACACCAAGAAGCATGAGAAGGCCATCGCCTCTGCTGCCTTTTGACAGGATTTTCTTCTTAAACTTGGAAATGCCAGGTGCAATGCCCTCTGCCCTGGCTCTCCTGTGCTGTCTCCAGCACACACTGCTGGTGAGAAACACAACAGGGCTTGTGCTGTAATCACAGGTTAAGCACAGGGCATTGTAGTTCTTGGCTGAGTTTGATGATGAAAAGCAAACAGGCACATCTCCTCAGCCCAGAAACCTCCCAGCCACCTACCCCTGCCCTCTCTGCAGGATAAAGCCACAAGCTTTATCTTCTGTTCTAATTAAAGCAGCAAAACACAGCCAAAGAGACCATGGCTCTCCCCAAACTCATGTGTAATTAAGGAGGACTCTGCAGTTATCACTGCAATGTAAATGGTAACAATTGAACTGGATGGGAACTGCAGCACTGAGCTAAAACAGCCGCCCAAGATGTCCATGACAGGAGAGCCAGCCCTGCTTGAGCGCTGGCAGGGCTGAAGCCCAGCCTTTGTCTCCAGGAAACCTAAGCCAGAAAACCAGGAAGCACTCAAGGTGCAACACAATGCCACAAAACCCTTCCATCTTTCATCTCCTTGCCAGCGCTGTTAAAGTAGGTCAGCGTCACGCAGCTCGGCGCGGCAGCGAGCCCGCTCCCGAGAGCTCACCTCCGAGCGAGGCGGGGGCCTTCTCCAACTGCAGCTGGAAAAGAAACCGGCTGCTTTGAGAAGTCACAGCCAGAGGAGCTGGAGAGACAGGCTACACAGGGAGCAGGGGCAAACTCTGGGACATAAAGGGACAGGGACACCAGAGGACAGATACTGCCTTCAAGAGCACCTCCCTTCTGGAGATCCACTCAGATGCTGCCCACCCCAGCCCCTGCCTTCACTGTCAGACTGCACAGCTCAAAAGCAAGCCTGACTTGGGAGACAACCCCACTGCCTTTCTTCATTTGAGATGTGTCTTCCCCGCCCAAACTCTAGAGAGCCGAAGGCAGTGGTGCTGTCTCGGGCTCTAAGCCATCCTTCTGCACTCACCGACTTGCAATCACCCAACCCCACAGGCTGGCACAGCTCTGCAGGCACAGGCCCACTGCTGCCCCAGCAGCTTTCCCTGGTCCTGCAGCAGGGATCCCTCTGGCTAGTGGGGCTTGTTCCTGGCAGGGTCCCCCCAGAAACTGTTGGGGAAGGTGGGAGGGTGGGAGACCTAGGTCAGTCACTCATTCACCTCTTATTCACCAGGTGCAAAGCCCCTTTCCAAAAAGGTCCGAGCCACATACATGCTGTGACACTCATTTTCCTTAGAGATAGAAATCTGTTTCTCTTCCAGTCAGGGACAGAAACAGCCACACAAAGTGGCTCCACGTGATACAAGAGAAACAAGAGAGGCACAAAAGCCTGATTTGAGCTGCACCAAATCTGCACGGCCAGCCCTTGCCCTCCAGGGCCAGGAAACACCACATTCACACCCTGGGCACACAGCTGCCCTTGGGCAAGCCCAGCCTGCTACTGCTGGACTCCCTCCAGGATGACAAGGTTGAGACTTCAGGATGTTTTCTTGCATGGAAGAGCACTTCAGAGCAACAACAGCATTCCACAGGGGAGAAACCCTGCAGAGACACAAGCCCTCAGGTGTACGGAAAGTTTCCCAGTGAATTTGCTTGTATATAGTTAGAACAAAACACAAACCAACATGAAATCCAACGAGCAGAAGTGTTTCTCTCACACATACACACACACAGAGTACAGCAGGGCAACACACATTTGATAGGCAGGACCCTGGAAATCCTGTCCTAGCTACCAGGTTTTTTCTTTACAGTAGATTGAAATACAAAGAGGAGCACAGTGATGGTTCTCCCCTCATCCCCCAGTAAACAAAGTTATTGCAGTCAGTCCACCCCAGCTCTGCAGCAGTAACACACTCCAGCACTGAGAGCTGCCCAGGCTGCCTGTGGCTCCTGACGCTGGAACCCAGCCCCATTGCTCTTGTCACACCAGCACGAGACTCGAGGAAGAAATTGCAAACTGACTAATTTCCTTTACAGAGCTTTTTCTGATGCAGCAGCCTCAATAAAGATAAAGAAGTGATGTGCTTATATGCCATCTTCCATGCTGCCATTGCCAGGCAATGCTATATAGTCCCAGAGCACCAGCTCAGGTCAACCAAAAACACGTGAACTGAGGGACCTGACAGCAGCCCAACTACAGCCAAACTTCTGCCACAGCCAAGAGCCAGCAGGCAGACCTGCCTGCAGCACAGAGTATTGCAGCTAGACAATCTGTCCTACCCAGCAGCCTGTCACTGGGCAGGGGACCTTATCCTCCTCCCCTGCATGGTTTGAAGGGAATACCCAGCCCCTGGCCAAGTAGGTTCCACTTGTGCTGGGAAAGGGTTTTGTGAAATCAGTCAGTGAAACAGCCCATGCTGTGAGCTCTGCCAGGCACTAGATCCAGCTCTCACCTCTTAACTCCTCACTCCCTGTCAGCAGAAGGCCCAGCAGAGCACACCACCACTGCCCTGCCCAAAAGAACCCATGTGGGCCCTGTGCAGAGCTATGCAGCACAAAAGTGGATACCCCAAGCCTTTAAAAACCCAAAGGTAAGGGATCAGATTGAAAAAAAAAAAAAAAAAGGTTCAAAAGCATCACTGCCCTCAGAAAGTGCCTTCTGGAAATGTTCCCAGTGCCTAGCTTGTCCATAGGGGTGGGACCTAAAAGGACCCATCAGAAATTTTAGTCTCTTACCCTGAAATGCCAGAGATGTCTGTTCTTCCCCATAGCAAGGACACTCTCCTCTCCAAATCCCAGCTGCCACCTGCTCCCAGGTAAGCTTTGGGAAGCCTGGAGTGCAAAAGGCCCAATCTGCAGCACCTTTGTCCCGCTGTCTCCTTGTAAGAGCATCCCTGGCAGCAACAAGGCATACAAACTGAACACAAGTGCAGCCAGAGCCAAGCCAACAGAGATACCCTAAAATCCCAGTCCTCCATCTCATAGGACGTCTTGCTGACCAAAGTGGACAGAAAATCTGTCTGGCTTCATTCTCACTCACATTCCAATGACAGCTTCCATTCTGCACCCTGGAGCTGAAACCCCTCACAAAGCCTCAACCCACAGGCAACGCCATGCCAGAGGAAAAGCATATTCTGCTGGGGAAAGGATGTGATCTAGAGAGAAACACTTGTGGGGAGGAATACTCAGGAAGCAGAAGGACAATGTCCATCTCCAGAGCAGCCCACAGGAGGCTGCCTGCCTTGAGCACCCTTCATTTCTGTTACATTCCTTCAGTTCCCATGAGGAGAGATCCTGAGTGGTTCGAGGACAAGGGCCCTGAAGCCAGGCAGGCTCCAGGGAGCAGTGTGGTCAGGGCAGGATGCAGGCAGCAGACAGAGCATCCCACGCTACCTCATGTGTGCAGTCTGACAGATGGACAGGAAGGCAGCTGGACACGCAGAGCGCTGGGCTGGCTCCCAGTCCAGCCACTCCAGTGATATATCACTCCACAGACAACGGCTCATCTTCCTGGGTTTGTTGGTTTTTTTCTTTTGGCAAATTAATTTTTTCCTGTTATTTTTTATTTTATTTTATTTTTTTTAGAAAGCATTAAAAAAAATCTGCAGCTGTTAAAAAAATCCTTTCCCTTTAGAGGCTGGACGAGGTTTTATTGACAGGTAAATAATTGGTGTGAGTATGTAAATAGCAGCGACCCCACTGACATGGTGTCCCTCTGCAGCACAGCCAGCTGTGGAGACATGGTGACTGGCTTGGTTTGGTCATTGTCACAGACCTGGGACACTGGAGTTTCCTTCCTCTTAGCATTTCCCTAATTCCTGTTCCTGCCCAACCCTCCTCAGGCATCACTTCAGCACAAACACCTGCCTGTCCCCATGGCAGACTCCATGCTCCAAAGGGGATCCCCTCTCCAGACCTCTCTAGCTATTTAAGTGGTTTGTTTTCCAAACTGGACCGTTGAACTCCCTCCAGACTCGCTGATCTCCCGTCCTTTGGCAGCAGGAAGACAGACTGGCCACCCTTTTTTCCTAGAAATATAGAGGGAGGGGGCCAAATGTACAGTAACACACATGATCTTCTGCAAAATCCATTTGAGCTGATCCACGGCTCCCCCAGCCCACTCACACCAATGAGGTCTCAGGTTAATAAGCAGTGCAGTTATTCAGCTATCTGCTTGTAAGTGGTAGGTGTTCTTGGGCAGGTTGCCTGCTCCTGCCAACTCCCCCACGACTTCATGTTGTCAGCACATCTATATTTAAGACTGGGTTTTTTTGCCTTTGTTTAAAGGGGTTTCCTTCCCTTGTAGTAAACTTAAGAGTTAATAGAAAAAAGTAATTCAAAAGTAATCCAAGCACATCTGTAATTAATTCTGCAGGAGAGGGCAGAGCGACGCGAGTCAGAGTTGGCACGCAGTTCCTGGCTCCTGGTGTGCAGTCCCTGGGACAGGCAGAAGGTCCCTCCGCCGAGCACAGCTAGAAGTTAGATTTGGAGTGTCCAAATATGCAGATGGGAAAGTGCTTGACATGGGAGGACCACTGTGCTGCCAGCTGAAAGAACTTGACATCATTCCACTCCACCCCATCGATCAGGACTGCAGGGGAGGGCAAAAAGAGAGGAAAAGTTAGAAAATACGGAGGGGAAGTGGCTTTGCTGGAAATCTCCCTGCAGTCGGCAGAGGGAGGCCTGACCACGCACTGCTCTGCCCGACTACCCCACCCAGCTGCACACGTGGGGGAAGAAAGGCTTGGGAGTAGACCAGGTTTAGGGAGAACAGCTCAGATTGTTGTTCCAGAATTGCTCACTGACACCAGAGCTCCCCAGACTGCTGATTTCAGTGTCATCTGATCCGATTGCTCAGATTTCCTAAACACACTTCATTTTCTCATTTGGGCAAATGCACTCTTACAGAGCTGCACATCAGTCTCTCCTCACTGGCACTCTAACCAGGAGACCCATGTCTCTTAGAGGGGTGACATGTTCTGTGAGTACCTCTCACGCTCCCCAGCATCAGACTGAGCCAGGAGGTGACCCAGGCAGATCCCTCTGTTGGAGATTCTCAACTGAACAGGCTACAGGAATATTTTTGATCCTGAATGCTCAGTTCTGGTGACAGCCACTTCAGATCTGCCTGCCAGATGAATATATGGCTCCTGCTGTGGCGTATCTGCGTGCCAGCATCCTGCCCATAGGAGCAGCCACACTCTCACCAGTTGCCACCAACCAACACTTGTACTAGTTGTGCAAGAGAAATAGAGAATGAAAGGGAGGGGAATGGAGCCTGGTCCAGCCCTTGTCCTCATCCAGAGCATTGATTCAGAGAAGTTCACAGGTAAGGGAGGATTTTCCCACATCCCAGACCTATTAAAGCATTCCCCCATGCTGGATACATCCAAGCCTGTTCCCCAGAAACACCCCATCACGCTGGCACCAGGGCACAGGGCAGGACACCAAGTCAGCCCTCTGCCTGGAGGACAATCATCTGAGCCTCATCCCAGAGCCTAACGGGATGCAAGCCGTGCACTTACCACGCAGCATGTTCTGCTGATGTTTTGCTGTGCAAATCAACCTGCTGATTCCTTCAATACACTGGCTCTTTGACTCAACCTCCTTGTCTTTTGTTTTCTTGGGCAAAAACATCACTGGAAGAAGAAACAGCACACAGTAAATCTATGCCACTCACAGGAGCTGCACTGACACTTATTTGAGTTTTTGTATTTAAACATTCATGTCTGAAAATTCTAAGATCCTCTCTTCTTGGCAAGAGTCTGTCAGTGCTGAGCACTATCACCTATATGCACATAAGCATCTTAGCCCTAAGTGTCTCTTTGTGAAGCATTTCCAGCTCATAACCCAGGCACCAAAGGGCACCTTCAGGGTAACTCCTGCTCCTGAGACACCATGCAGGGAAAATATCTACATCTGCAGTGGCAGGTCTGCTGCACTGACTGCACCCCAACTGGGCTGGGCTGCACACACACCTGGAGAGCAGGAGGGGCTACAAATTGGGGGCAGCTGGTGGAGAGGGAAGGCAGAAGAGAAGTTAAAAAAGGGTCCAGTTCCCTAAGAACTGTCCAAATGCATGAGTGAAGATGTACAAATCAGCTCCGCAAACGCTGGTGGTGTTAAAACACCTCTGCTGCAGGCTAGGCCAGCCCCAGGGAAGAACATGTGGAGTGTCTCAGGATTGCTTCTCCCATCAGCATGACACTTAAAGGGTGTCATCACAGGTGGCAGCTCTGGTACCAGCAGTGCCACAGCTGTGCTGGCCCAGGACTGACCTAGCTACACAGTTATGCAAAGAAGCTCTGTCAGCCTCCTCTCAGAGCCCCCAAAACCCCTGCTTCCATCAGGAGTGACTCCCCAGCCCACAGGCAGGAAGATGTTGTGAAGGACAGCTACTGGCAGCTGAATGTAAGTGCAGAACTGCCTTGCTGCTTCCTTGAAAATACTTTGCTGCAGAACTGTTCTCAGTTTCAAAAATGTTTCACATTATCAAGGCCAGGAGCAAATACAGAATTACTGACAATATTTAAAATGCCTTTTTTGTTAGTTTGTTTTGAGAAAATAAGCTTAAAGCCGTGAGTTTAAGAAGAAGAATAAAAAAGAAAAAAGATAACATGAGGCTTTGAACTGAGAGCATTTCTCTTCTACTTCCTTTTGACCCACAAAGTACTCTGTACAAAAGCATAAGAGTCATAGAATCCTTTAGGTTGGAAAAGACCTCTGAGATCATCAAATCCAACTGCTGACCTAACACTGCCAACTGGACCACTAAAACATGTCCCCAGGTGCCACATCTACACATCTTTTAAATACCTCCAAGCATGCAGGGATGGCAACTCCACCACTGCCCTGGGCAGCCTGTTTCAGTGCTTGACAATCCTTCTGGTGAAGAAAATTTTCCCAATATCCAATCTAAGACTCCCCTGGCAGAACCCAAGGCCATTTCCTCTTCCTGTCCCTCATTACCTAGGAGAAGATATTGACCCCCACCTTCCTTTCAGGTAGTGGTAGAGAGTGATAAAGTCTCCCTGACCCTCTTTTTCTCCAGGCTAAACAGCCCCAGCTCCCTCGGCCACTCCCACATGACTTTGCTCCAGGTTCTAGATCACCCCACTGGTTCTAGAGTGAGGCTGTGTGCAGGGGGAGAGTGGGAGGTCCTAGACTCCAGTTCAGAGGGTTCTCCCATTTTGTCATCTCACAGGGATCTGTGGTACTTGCTGGGCTATTGTCTCCCTCCCTCTTTTTTTTTCCCCTTACATGCCTTTTTTATTCTCTGTGGCTCTTTAGAGCTGAAGGCTCACAGGATGGGGATATCATCCCAGTAACCATCACTCTCCCAAGTTTCCAGCACTCTGTCCCCACCTTTGTTCTTCTGGGCTACACCATCTTAGCTGTTCAACCGTAAGAGTGAACACATCCCCTTTTTACAGCACAAAGAGGAACCACCCTTTCAAACTCTGTCACCTTATGTAGTCACTTCTCATCTACACATCAGGATTTTGAGGATAAAAATATGACTGAGGTGCTGTAATGCAGGACTGACAAGTCAGGCAGCCCTGGAGCAGCAGGACAGGGAGAGCAGCATTGCATTCTTGGCCTCAGGCAGCAGCAAATGTGTCCACCTTCACCTTACCTTTTTTGTTCTTTTCTTTTGTCACAACAGTCATGGACATGGTTGGAGTGGTGGTAATCTCCCCACTGGCAGGTAACCTGCTGACCTGGAGGGACCGGAAAGTGCATTTCAGTGTGTTTTTGGTAGTGGAGGGGTCCTTCTTCTCCGGGTCTCTCTTTCTATCCATGGGTGGAGCTGCAATCCAGTAATCCACCTGCAGGCCCATCAACTCAGCACCGAGGCCCTGGCTGGAAAACAAGACAAGAAGGTAATTTCTGCACAGCTCTCAGCAGTTCCCCCCATCTGTGCTTTTTTCAGAGTGGCTGGCATTCCTGGGCAAAGGATAAACACATGGCTCTTTGGGGAATCAGGCAGCAACATTTCAGAGCGAGACCCAGCAATTACAAAAGCCCCAGAACTCATCCCTGAGAGATGCAGCCTGCATCACACAGCACAGGGGCATCAGTTTGGCAGCACAGAACTGCACTGAGCCAAGACAAGCCGACCTCTTGCACAGCAATGGGGGTGAGCAGTGGGAAAGCTTCCTTCCACAATGTGGAATTTGGTGACCCAGCCAGTAAAGGTAACCCTTGAGGCGTCCCAGATCACTTTGTCTTTTGAGTGGGGAAAAGAGGCTGTAAGCACTTGTTGCTGCCTCCTGAGCACTGATGAGTGACTCTGTCCAGGTGCAGCACCGCCAAAATCAACCCTGAACTGGGGTGAGCAAAGACCTGGTGGGTCCCTGAACTCAGTTCCTCCAGTACTCAGTTCCCAGTCTCCCTGACTTGCTTTCATCTCCTATGTTCCTGAGCTCTTCCTGCCACCAGCTGCTTCCTTTCTGGCTCAGAATAAACAGCATCTCTGCTCTACCCAGGTCTCTGTTATGGAGTTGGTATGCAATAACTGCCTCCCCTGCCACTTGCTGGGGAATTCCACTGATGGAAAAATGCTCTGCCAGTCCTGTGATGCTTGCTTAAACAATGGTAGATTTCAGGACACGATCTGCTGTTGAAAACTCCCGCGCGTTGTGTGGTAACAGTTGTGCATCACCAAAACACACTGCCAGCCTTTCTTGAGCCAGAAAGGGGAAGATGAGCAACCTGGGAAATTTCAGCCCTTGCCTGCCCCTGCCTCTTGCTAGCTAACCCCAAGGGAGCAGACCTATGGCTGACAGCTTATACTTCTTCCTACACAATGACAATCAGTGTTAAATAATATACAGGTACTGGACAAAAAGCTAAATTTATCTACCAGTCCATGTCCCCTGTTTGAGAAATGGCAATTGTTAAGGAAGATAAATTTGATCTTGAATGAAATATGCATCCCTCTGCACCATCTGTCTAATAAGAAACTCTCAAGGTTAAACAAGGACATCCCATCATTAGAGTCCTCTCAGCTCTTCCTTTTGTTTGCCATTTATTCAGCTGAGAGTCAGACTGCAGAGCTGAGTTCATCTTTGATCACCAAAACCAGGTTTTGGATTCTCAGGGCAATATTCAGAAGTGAGATTCTTTAAGGATGACGCTTTTGAGATGCTGCTTTGAGTTTAAAGACTCCTTTGCATCACATTTCTCAACTCAGTTGTAAAGACAAAGCATCCTAATGTTCACTATGCCCAGGCAGGACTTTATGTTCCATTCCCTGTTAAACATGTGGCTTAATCTTTCAGTCTGGGTCACCCTCCACCCCCTGTGTTGTCACTTACAGGTCAGGGGAGATGGAACAATGTTGAACCTAAACTTCCTCATTTCTTGATGATTTTACCCTACAGTATGGAACTAAAAAGTACCAGCCTGGGTGTCAACTTCAGATACATCACATCCATGGCTCACAACTTGAACATCCTACACTCCTGTGTGTATTGGTTCCCAAAGCACTTCCACCTTTCGAAAGCCCATACAAAGCTCACACAGGAGAAGTCAGGTCTGCTCCCCAGAGCCTGCACAGCCCTCAGCTGCTGCTGGGACCAGCCTGGGGCACACAGGGCTCTCCTGCCACCAAAGCACAGGGAGCCAACAGGAGGCACCCAGGGAACTGGACCTTCTGGCACATGTGAACAGCCACTAACACCTTCCAGTGCTGTCACCTTAAGACTTCCAGCTCTCCCCTCACAGAGAAAGGGGTCAGCTCCTTCAAGAGTCCCTCTGACCTTACACTCACCTGGTCATTGAAAACATAAGAATCATGAGGGATTAGCCTGGCACCCACGTGTATCAGGGTCAGTAATTTCTTTGACTACATATCTCCTCAAGAGAATCCAGTCTCAAAGGGAAAATACCAGTAGATGGAAATAACAAACCTACCCAAATGGCTGCCACAATGGCTCAGCTCTGGTTTCTGCCAGACTATCAGAAACAAGGCTGCCCCTTGTAGTTCCAGTGTGTCTGACCTTGGGACATGCAGCCTTCCCATTGAGTGCAAGATCTCCCCTGCCCTCCCCAGCTCCTTATTGGTCAGCAAAGACATCGTGACTCCAGAGGCAAAAGAGGTGAAGGGGAAAGGTGACAGCTTTGAGTGTTTGCTAAGGATGAAGAAAGAGCTATGGGTTTCCCTTTAGAGGAGCTCTCTCTTATGCATATGCCAGATAAGCAGCCAAGGGGGCTGTGAGGAGACAAAACATGGTTTACCTTGAGGACGAGAAGCTGCCTGTAACAGATGGTGAGGAAGGGGGTGTGGGGGAGGCTTCTTTCACAGCAGGAGATACAGAAGGTGGGGTAGAAGAAAGGACACTGGAGCTTGAGGGAGCTGCATCATCAGAGTCACCTTAAAAAAAGGAAGTCAAACTGTTTGTCTGGGTTTGTCTCACAGCCCAGCACATACACACCAGGATAGCTCAGTCTCCTTGCCCACGCTGCTGCTGCACAGGTTTTGCTCACACTCAATCCAGAGATCAGCCAGCCCACCAGTTTCGATGGCCTCCACACTTCAACCACCAGGTTTCTATGTTTGGGTACAAGGCAGGGACAGACATTCACCCTCCTCTGGGCTCCTCATGTGACATCTGCTCTCCTAGGGTTTGCTCCCAGCTGATTTTAAGCCTTCTGCACAGTCAGAGCCCAGCCCATTGATCTCTGATGGGGAATCTCCCCCTGCAACCACTGCAGGGCAGCAGCACTCTTAGAATGCAGTACCTCTGGGCTGATCACAGGGACCTCCCCATTCCATCTGCTTCCACCCTCCACAACCAAGGCATCACTCCTTTCATGTCAGCCCTTCAGAACGGAGGGATCACTGTGGTCACAAGGAGTGACCCACAGAAGGGCTACCTCCATACACAAACCTATGTGTAACACAGGCCACAAGAATCTGGGTTTAATAGTGAAGCAATACAAGAAACAATCCCAACAGATGATGAAAACAATAATCCTGACTAGTAGTGTGTATGAAGGAGGAAAAAATAAGTTCACATTAATAAAACAGCACTACCTCATATCCATGTGTGTAAGCAGGCAGTATGGTGTAAATCATCTTGCACTCCCCATTAAAAAAATAAAAGGGTCCAAATTTTGCCCATCCTAAAGTTCCCAGTGTACATGTCTGAGATTGATTTTATCAGGCAGTTGAGCCCAGTGTAGGGAGACAGGCATGAACTTCTGATGGCCTGCTTCCACATTTTGGAGTAGGAACCATAGCAGTGAATCCACCCCACTGAGAACAAGCGAGAAAAATGGGCACTTGCACAAATGTGAGTGGAGCTTCACTGGATGAGAGTGTGGGAATTTCATCTGGCCTGAAGCTCCTTGTAAAGTAACATGAAAAATGGCCTCTCTCAACTGAGAGGGCTCTCATTCTGCAGACAAGCCACTAGGAGTCAAAGCAGTGGAACTGGGAGCCAGTAAAATCCAATTCCACCTCACAGCACTCCAAGACATCATCAATGGACAAGTTTGTTTAGCCTGTGAAGTCAGACTCCTACCACCTGTAGGACACAGAAGGCACACAGGATACTCGTTACCTGATGTTGCAGAAGATTGTTCCACTATTCCAACCTTCACCACCTAAAGGGGGCAAAACAGAAGAGCTTTATGAAACAGGAGTCCCTTGAACTTCAGGAACCCACAACCCCAAACCTAAGCTCATCCCTGCAGTCCCCTTGGCACTGTCCCAGCAGTCAGAGTAGTTGAAGTAAGTGGAAAAAGTGGAGTCTTCTAAGAGCTGGGCAGGTTCCAGCAGCGTCCAGCCAAGCAGTATGAGTTCACAGCCCATCCCTGACCTATAGAAGGGACAGCAGAGACCCTATGGAGCTGTTACAGACCTGACAGCTCTGAACAGTTCACCATCAGCCCCAAGCTATGGCAACTACAGTGCCTGTGACACCTGTGGGAGTGGGTCAGGGAGGAGAAAGGGACATATATATCCCTTCAGCACTGCTAATTACATACACGTTGCTTCCACCACCGAAGTGCAGCCACTTCCAGGGTGCAGCATAGCTGGGGTTTGTCAGGAAACCACAGAAGCAGCAACGTACAGTTTCTGCTCAGAGTTTTCTATGCTCTAAGCAAGGGTAGTGTCAGGCAAAGAGGATAAAGCTCCTAGCAAAGCCTCTGGATGCAGACATGGACAAACTACCACACGGACTGGTCAGAACGATCCAAATCACACAGTAATAAGGGTACAAATGTGTGTGGCCAACCAACCACCAGCTAGTACATTAAGATTAATGATAAATGCCACTGGTGATAATTTGAGGAACAGAACATGCTACAAACAAGCTCCCAAGAACACAATACGCCTAGAAAGATAAAATGCCTCTTGGTGATACAAAAGCAAGGACCATCTTCTAATGATAATCTGCTATGGTGCACAGGGATTCTTCCTCTTAATACAGCAGAGATCCTTTTTTAAGGTCCTTAAGAAACTTGTATCCAGGGTTAATGTCTACCCTGTGTAAATGTTGACAAATGGGAAAGAGCTGCAAAGGGAGTTCAAGTCAATAAAATCTGCTTTAGAATGAGAAATGATGCCATGCAATCTGTTTAGTTTGAAAATAGAAAGTCCTTAAGTTCAGACATGACCATGTTTGGACCACATCTCTAGGGAACATGTTTCTGTGCTATGGGACCAAAAAAAAAAAAAAAAAAGGACTTTATTATAAGCAGAAAGCTTTGCAGAGTTTTGAGGGTGGGGAGAGGTATGCTGATCTTGGAGAGCTCTCAGGCTTTCTGGTGGGTTCTCTGTTAGACCCAGTCTTGGAAAAGCCATCATGAACTCAGTAGTGTGTACTGAGGCTCCCTGAGGGGTCACTGGCTTGGGAGAAGGAGGTTGTAGCTCAGTTTGTCCAGTCTCCATCCAAAGGGCAACAAATCAGGCTCTGGAGTCCAGCAGTCATTTGTGCTGTATGTGTTAAACACCAAGAGGATGTTTCAGAGACTGTCACTGGTTGTGAGCAAGAGGAGGCAAGGCAGAAGATTTAGGAAAGACAAGCAACACAGGAAGCTGCCTACAGCCATCTTGATCTGCAAGCCAGACAGGAATCTCTTCTGGCCTTTTCCTCCTTGCTAGCTGACTGAAGATGCTCGAGTTCAGACACACGGGAGGAACACAAACACGTTCCCTTCCCTCCATTCAGGGAGGCCCTTGAGACTGCTGCAGTTCCAACATGCTTCCATCCAGGAATGTGTCAGCAGCCAGCCTCCCTTCCTTTCAGGAAGAGGCACATCCTGTTAACTCTCCTGGCAACTGGATCACGGAGCCTCCACCACCTGACCCTGGCCCCTTGTGAGGCTCCACTCCCACCACTTCAGAGCCCAGCTGAGCAGCAAGGCACTCCCCAGCTCACTTCTGGGTTCCAAGCAGGCTGCAGCTGAGGGAAAGAGCCTCAGTGTTCATATCCAGCGTCTGACTTTGTGAGACACCTGCAACTGGCCTTTCAGAGTCTCTTTACATGTGTTTCATGGGGAATTACTGTGTCAGGAACACTTCAGAAGCAAGAGCAAGTAGCAATGATTTGACCCTCATCACCAGCTGACATAGGAAGTCAGTTTGTGCTTTCAAGGCAAGTTTTTGGGGGCTTATGTAAACAACAAAGCCATTCACTCTTCCACCACTTTCAGACAATCACATCCAGACTGGAAAAGCAGTGCTAATGTCAGGACAATGATCACTTTAGAGTAATATGATAAACACTTTGAGCCCCGTTTGCTTGCACATAACACAGAACTAAATCAGTCCTAAAGAAAAGCTTTACAGAGCCATGTAGCTATGAGAGGAGTCTGGGAGCTTCCACACCCTTCTGGACTTTTCATGTTATTAGGAAAGGTGAAACAGCTGTTTTATAAAACCAGTTCTTCACTAGAAATTGCAGTTCATGGGAGGGACAAGATCAAGCAAAGCTCATCAGCAGGGAACAAATTGGGAAGATATATCTTCTCGGGAATAATGCAGAGAGAGATTCTCACTCTGAGGAGACATGTGAGTGAAAGCAGGGTCAGCCTGAGGGCAAGAGAGGCTAAGCTCTTTAAATGCCTTGGGATTTCGGATTAGCTCTGACGACAGGGACACAAACGGGAGTGCACACAAGTCAGCTTAACATAGAGCAGGCAGAGCAAGGCAGCCAGCATGCAAGAAAGAGAAGCTACAAGACAGTAGCAAAAACTGTGAAAAGGACATCCCACAATTGAAGAGCAGCCAGGGGATTCCTTTTTAGTTGCAGGTCAATGACTTTGTACCTAAAACTTAATGAACTGAAGAGCTTGATCAAATAAGGGGAGGGAAGCTAGAAAAGGCAAAGGACACAGTGCATGAAATACATGGACAGAAGAACAAAGATGGCCCTGCCTAGATACTCTGCACTTGGCCACCTCTGCCAGGAACACTTAAAGATAAGGACAGGAGGGAAAACTAGGGACTACTATCCCAAATACATGTTCACGTAATAAAATGCATTAAATAGCTCTGCCCCAGACTCAAAGCTTAAGAGAGGTATAAATTATCTCCCTGGTGGGATGTACTACCCACATCCCAGGAGTGGATGAGATATTAAGAAAACTGGAGTCTGTTCATGACAAGCACACAGAGGACTGACAGTAGAACAGCAAATTTGGCCAAATCAACCAGAGCAATCAGATTTCCAGGGACACGTCACTTTCACATCTGAGAAGTAAAATACACCTTGTAGTTTGTTGAGGGATCTTAGAGAGATATGCTTACATACCAGGCAGTTGCATCCAACCATCAGGTTCTCATGTTGATATTCTGCCTCAGAGCACCCAATGGCTTCTGCTCTACTCCAGAAACCAGGTAAGTTTGGGTTAACACTTACAGACTTATTATAGCTGACTTGCGACAGTGTAACTACAGCAACACTCACCCCAACAAAGGGAATGAACTTCTGCGAAGATTCTTCGTCAGGGCTAAAGGCAAAGAGAAAAGACTTGTTAGCAGCTTTGCTTCCACCCCAGTCACGATACTCACTTTATACGTTGCATTCCAGCATGCAGCAGGGACGGACAGTATGCAAGCGCCAGTCCAACGCTCCTCTCAAGGCCCCCTGCCAGCACGCCAAGAGTCTGCACGGGTGGGGAGGAGCACGCAGCCTACGGCATGTCCCTCTGCACGTCCCTCGGGGAACAGTCTCTTCCTCCCTCCCTCACGCTTGACAGAGAAACATGCTTTGATGGCATGGCAGTCATCACAGACACACGACCTCCTACTGCAAGGAAATGGATCTTGTGCCACAACAACACGGAGAACTGTGCGTTACTTACTAGTCCCTGAAGTGCTCTGCACGCACGGCCTTCCCGCGTCCCACCTTTGGAGCCATGTGCCATACCTTGCACATCCCGGCACCGCTAAAGCAGTTAGCCTGCCACGGGGTTACAAGCCGTGACACGTGGTTATTTGTAAAGCACTGGCAAGGACGTGCTCACACCCCCTCACGCACACACACGCGCGTCCCAGGCCACCGGGAGCTCACAGTCCCTTCCACAGGCACATGGAGAGGTTGGGCACCAGAGCACACCGGGCAGGTCAGGACACCGACTCGAGAACTGCAAACAGTAAACCAAACCGAACAAAAGGCACACCACGTCCCAGAAACAACTGAAGACAATGCACACACTTGGAAATCCCCTCCTGCTCTGGCCCTGCCCAGGATTCAGAAGCCAGAGGGTAGAGAAGGGCCAGCAACAAAGGTCACGGTCAAACTTAGAAGGAATTAGGGAAAGACTCAGCAAACACAAGAGGAACAAGATCTAAGTGAGGAAGGCAGGCTGAAAGGGCCTGCAGAGTCACTGCTCCCTTCAAGGGTGACAGAGATTAAGATGGACCCACAGGGTAAGGAGAAGACCACAGGAGCATATCCACATGTTCCGAGGAACTACAGCTCAGCATTGCAAGTGACTGCACGGGCAAGACACTCATTTCTCAGTGACCAAACACAGGAGACAGGTAGGAAGCAGACGAACACTGAGACTTCTCATGTTTCTCTTTCTGTGCATCCCTCTGCTCACAGAAAAACTATCCAGAATTGAGCTTGTGGCAGCATGACTACTGCAGGAACACAGATGTTTCTATGCTGTTTCCAGCACAGATCAGAAATGCACCAAATGCACAAAGGTTGTCAACCACTGTGTGATTAGCACAGGTTGGACACTTTCCTCTAAGCCTCATGGAAAGAATGGCATAGAACTGCAGTGAATGTGACTCAGGCAGAGTTCCCTCCTGGTCCAAAGCAGAGTGTAATTTTGCAAACAGCCTCTCATTTAGGCTCAGCTCTTCTTATCCATTCCTACGGCAAACAACGGGGCTTTACTCGCTTCCTACCTCACAAACCCAGGCACTGCACCCATTCATTCTTCCCCCAAAGCACGGGACAGTGACCAAATCCCTGATTGGAAGGCAGAAAGGTCACATCTTTGCAAACACAGCTGCAGGCCCCCAGCAAACACATCTCCTACAAACGTGATATTTCCACGTGATATTTTCCTCTAGTTTTGCAAAGGGAAACGAGAAAACCACTGAGCTGTTGGGAGCAGCACAGAACAGAGGCTCAGCTTTTTTCTCATTCCTTGAGCTCCATGGGCTGAGAAGCAGGCAGAAAGCAAGTCCTGCTGACCAAGTGAGGGAAGCACAATAGTTGTCCAGTCATCTCTCAGCTACTAATGGCTTTACTCTGAGCTCTCAAAAAACAAACCATGCCCAATTCCAGCAGAAAACTCATTCTTGTTCCCCCTGGGAGCTCTGACTCCCACTGCGGAGAGCTCAGCAGCAATTCTGAAATAAATCATTGCTTCAGTCACTATTTATCACAGCTCACAATGATGCACAAGCTGTTCCAGAAGCAATCCAGCTGGATTTCAGTTCAGCTAGCCTAGTCCTGTCACATGTCCTCTTGGGAACTCTGGTCTTGCACATGTACTTCTGAAAATGCAGCTTTTCAAAACAGTTGCTCTTCATGTGGATGAAAGGAAAGATGAGGTGATCATGCTTGTTCTCCACTTCCTCTTTTGTGCTCTTTCACAATTCTTGTTCTTCAAGATCTCAAGATCCCAAAATATTAATCCAGAATCCTTTCACCTTCGTAACAGCCCCTTCAACTCCTCCTACCACAGCCCTGCAATTAAAAATATCCCCTGTCCCTGGAAAGGCAGCTCCCCCTTATTACCTTGGTTGCACAGATTCCCAGGCTCCAGAGGTTTAACCCCACAGCCATATCCAAGGCTTTACTTTTACCCACAGGGCTTCTGAAGGCCCTGGTGCCTCAGCTGTAATTTAAAGCCAGACCTGACCCTGGGTTGTAATTTCCAACAGTGTTATTGATATTTCATGTCTCTAATTCTGGGGAAGAAAAACCCTCATACAACAAAACCCACAAACCAACAAATTCTAGAGGACAACAAAAACCAGAGAGGCTAGAAAGAAAATCTTTATCTGGATTTCGGAGTTGTCTAATTACTTTTCTTGCTTGGGCAAAATCCATGCAACTGTAATCAGTGCCTCAAAGGTAACCTGCCCAGAAATGGACTTGCAGGCTCCCTCCCTACCCCAAGAAATTCATTCAGATTAAGACATATATTTGGATTTATGCTTCAGGACTCTTAGAAAGGAGAAGCAGCTGTATCACCAGGAGTCAGCCACCTGACAAGCAGAAGGAATAATATCTTTCAGTGTACAAGCTAAGCTGCAAAGCACTTGGATATTACAGTAAGAGAGACTGAATTACCACTTAGAGCAGTTATGCCACTTATTAGCCTTTAAAATTTAAGCAACCCAAAACAGATTCAAATGAAACCAAACATCTGTGATTTCCTAGCAGGAGGGTCTCAGACACTACCTTTATTCCAGGCAAGTCCTGAAGCAGGGCAATAGGAAAGAGGGGACTTTTATCACTTCTGAGCCACTTCAGACCAGGCACTACCAACAACTGTCCAAGGTTTATTTTTGGTATGAAGCATTATCACCAGGCAGCTGCAGCTGCCAACACTGTCCCAGTTCCACCAAGTCTCCAGTGGTCAAGCCAAAAAAGGGACAAAGCAACTCCAGGTCCCCATGACACATCAGATGAGCCACCTCTCAACCTTCCCAAAAACCTCCCATACAGCACTCTTCACATTCCTACAGTGACACCATACTCAACAGAACACCCAGCCTTTCTTGAGCCTTGATTCTCCTCTGCTGCACTGCTTGGCCAGGCCAGGGGCACAGTGAACTCCTGTTACGTTTCCACCAGCTGCTCAAGGAGGTTCCTGAAGCAACCAGACAGATGACAGGGGCTCTGTTGACCCAGAGGAGAGATCGGGGCCATCTTCACCAGCTGCGTTCATGTTCAGTGACTACCGCAAGGTGTGTTCGAGAAATAGAACTTGGAGCAATGACCTGGACTCTGTAGAGTCTCCAAGACACACAGCAGGCAGAAAGCAGTGTTACCCCTGCTTCCTATTGCCCAGGAACCCTCCAACCCAAGGCAACTGTGCTCCAAGGAGCAAAAGCTGGGAAGTGTTCTACAGGACAGAGTGAAGAGCTTTTGGTAAACCAGGCAGGAAATGACCCAGCCTTTGTCCTGACAAGTGAACAATGCTTCCATTTTCAGTAGCCAAGCTGCTTCCCAGATTCATGCAAGGGCTGTCCAGAAGCCACATGGCATGAGCTGTGCTGGGCACTGAATTACAGTGGGTGACATCAGCCCAGGTTGACAGAGCTGATCAGCAATCCAGCACTGGGAATGAGCGTCTGGTGAGCCTCAGATCTCAAATATCACAGTCTCTCTTTCAGGAAAACAATGCAGAGAGTTTATCGACATCAATGAGACACCTCTCCTAGTGAGAAGCCCACCTCACCACCATGGTCCCAGCACCCCAGATGTTGCCTGGGCTGCACTGTTCCTTGACAATTCTGTAACCAGTACCCAGAGCTCACAGACAAAGTCAGTCACCCAGTGTAACGCAGAGGAGCTGCAATGGCAATTCGTTTCCTTCTTGAACCCCTTCCTCATTGCCAGCCCCCCTGATTTCAGGTAAGGCCAGCAAATGCTCCAAAAGAACAGGACAAAGCTTTGGCACCATTGCAGTCCATCACAGGCAGCACATGCGCCAACTTTTTGCCATGACAAACAGAACAAGGGGACGGGAAGGAGAGTGTAGGTAGGTCAAAATAGGGATAGCTGGCAGTAAAGTTATAAAGCAGCTTATCACATACAGCTACATCCTAAAGACTGGCTTGGCTTTCCTTGGACCACTAGGACTTGTTTAACAGAGCAAATGCTAGGATTCTGGGAGATTTCTGTTGCAATGAATTTGTAGGTAGTGCTGCTGTTTCTGCATAGACCACTGCATTGAAAGCTGGACTTGGAGAAGCCATTCACCTCTGTCCTCAAGGGAGAGGGAGCTGCAGTAACTTTGTGAGCTGAGGACAAAATAAACAATGTCCAATTATCGTATGATTCAAAGGATGGGACCCTGCAGAGCAAGGGGGTCTTGGAGGCAGCTCAGAGAGCACAACTCCACTGCTAGCGTACATCTGTCTTCTCTTTCTTAAGTCCCATACATTTGGGATAGCCTGCCAGTAAGAGACTAGTCCTCAATTGTTTTAATTACAGGGAGGAGATTTGCTGGTCTGCACTCAGACACTGCACAGCTGAACCCCACCCTGAGCCGCTGAGTGCCACCTACAGCACTCCAGTTCCAACAGACAGGAACTGAAAAGCCTTTTCTCAGTTCTGATCCTTTTGGGGCTACACAATATCCTCTGATAGCCAGGAAAAAGGCAAGAAAAAACCCTACCTTCTCCATATTTTACTGCTCAAAGCTACTCTCAATAACTCCTTCGTTCCCATTCAGTCTACACGCTGGGAACCCAAATGTGTGGTCCAAAGGCACAGCAGTCACTTTCAGTTACGCATTCTGCCAGCAGATGCCATAGTTTCAAAGCAGCGAGCAGAATTTAACCTAAAGCACAAACTGTGCATCCCAGATCCGCAGGAACTGTTAAACAAGGCACAAAAGACCAGTTCACTGGGAAAAGAGATAGGAGATGGGAGGGGGAACCTAAAAGGAACTGATACCTTAAGGTAAAATCAAAATGAAAGCTCTTTTTCCTTTTCAGGAAGCAACCAAAGAAAAAGATAAATGCGTTATTATACTTACAACAAAGCGATGCATTCATTTAGATAGTGCTAATGGAGACACAATTTCTGTGCTGTTTTTCACAATACCCTCCCTAAGCTTCTGCCAGTGAGAGAGACAGGCATATCTAAAGGAAGGCACACTGGGAGACAACTGCCCACACTCCATGGGAGAGCCTGTTACTCTAACTCACTCTGGTTTGCTCATGGGGTACTGACCTGAACGCAGGAGTTATTTTAAAGCAGACACACAGAGACGCTGAGAGACTGCCAGCTGTGCCAGTCTGACTACCAGTCTCAGCAATCTCTCTTCCCAGTAGCCTTCCGCAGGGTTTGAGCCTGACTTAAACCTATCGACAGCTTCAGGTATGGCACCAGAGTCCAGAGGATGTAAAATCCAAATGGATCAGACCAGCCTGCTGGGACACTGCTGGGAGGACTAAGGGCATGTGTTGCTCAAGTACATTTCAGATGTTTTTCAACAAAGTACTGAATTGATCTTTATGAGCACATTAGAAACAAAATGATTAAATGTGCGTTAATGACAACAATGAATCTGCAACAGAATGGAGGAGGCAGTGGAAACCAGTGCAGAACCCAGTAACCCAAGACTGCAGAGAAAGAAGAAGGCTGCCCTGAGAAGGGGTTCACACTGCACTAGGGGTGTCTGATCTCCCTGCTGGTAACTAGGTAAGTCTTCACACCAAAAACAAAATGGAAAATTGAAGACAAGAGCTTCAAGTACCCTGTGGCTCTTCAAATTTAACTCTTATTATCATGTTAATTTTACAGAAGTTCACAAATACACGAAGAGACTGGACTAGTCTCTTTTACTGGACCAGTCAGTTCAGAAATATTTTCCCTAGGAAAATACGTAGAGTGGGCAGAATTTTACTGAATCATTTCTGCGAAGTAATGTAAGAACAGACACGGGAATGGAAAAGCAATATCCTATGAGAATTTCCAAAAAGAGGGAAAAAAGTTACTCTATCCACACTTTTAATCCCTCACAATTCTTACGCAAAGGAGACACCAATGAGGGATGTTAATGGACCAAAAATGAAAAATCAAATAGAAGTGATTAACAGTTAACACCATCCATGCCTCATAGGAAATTGCTAGTCCCTAACTGAGAAAAATCACATGAGCTGAATGTTTGTCCTACTCTTGGAAATTATTAGGATGTGAGTTGGAATCTCTTATTCTGTCTGTCCCTTGATAACAATGCTGCTCTACCCTTCAATGACAGTTACTCTTCTTCCTGGACCCTAGCCACATGAGGTTCTACATACTCCTGCTCTTGCTTTCAGACCCCAATCGTCCTTCCTGAAGGCTGCTTATCCCTTAAGAAAAGCTGAGATAAAACCTGGTGAATGTCAGCCCTCCCCAGAAGGAGTCCTGGTAGCCTGCAACTGCCAATCAACAAGGATTTTGGCTCTCCTGCGAGAAGCTCTGCTATTTACACTCCAAAAAGAAAGGGTTTCAGTTCCATCAACGCTGATGTAAAAAGGTTAGATCTCATGGGAGATACTTTGAGGGGGAATGCTGAGGTCCAGTCTTACACACCTAAGGTCTCTGTGGTATGAGATCTCTGGAACCTAAGCAGACATAATCTGTTTGTCCCCCAACCTCCTTAGTCCCCACTTCTCCAAACCTCTCATATCTTCAAGAAAATCACTGCACTTGAAGTAATCCCACTGTCGTAGATTCACTAAGTGGGACACATCACTGGGTGCAGGCTACCATAAGGCTCCCAAGGGTTTTGCCATTTGGAGTGATTTTAAGACTGCTGGCACATGAGATGAGAAAAGCACTCTGTTTTCAACCAGCTGCTCACCCTGGGAGCCAGTATGACAGCAGTGACATACCTTTTCTGTTTGTATGTCAGCATGGCTTCAGCAATGGGCAACTGATGTGCACAGTTTGCCCCTGCTATGTACTGGGTTATCCGGGAGACGACATCGGGCGCCTCTGGAACTGCAAGAGAACAAAAGGAAAGCATTTAAGTGACTTTTCCAACCACCACCACCACCACTGTCCTCCCACCTGCTGATAGTACCCTGCCATCTGCATTTGAACTGCATCTCCACCAGGAAGCTCTGCTTACTCCAGAGCACAGTAAAGCTGTCCAACCAAAAGCAAACATCCTATGAGAGCATTAAGGTGAAAACATTGGGAAGGAACACTAAGTACATAAGTACAGACATCTGCACCCAGCGTTACTGACTGAAGTGTCATGAGTATTTTATAGTGGTTAAAAGCTTTTCTTTGAAAACATGTACCTGCCCAGAGTCAGATTAAGGCTTTTTCACACCTTGACTGCAGATATCTGCTGAAGAAAGTGCCTGTCCACCTCTCCCAGGTGAGCTGCTCTGCTCACACCAGCATTCAGTGACCTGAATTCCTAATGACCTCATGGCCTTGCTGAGTTCACTGAGAAGACAGAGACATGCAAGGATAGGAAAAGCACAAAGATCACATCTATGGTAGCAATGCTCCAGATAGGTGAGACTGTGCTTGATTCAAGTTGGCAGGAAGACATCTCCTAAACACCTTCAATATTTCTTTGGTTTCCAGCGAAAAGCCTCAATGTGAGATCACAGGAATGCAAGTGACCTTCACCAGGCACTTCCATACCTTATAAATGGGCATTTTAACCCAACTCTTTGTATTTGAACAGTGAACTATTTAAGAGCTACAATTCTCTGCCAGATCTTCTTATGCCATCACAGGGTTTCTGTGCAGTTCCCACGGCACAGATGAAAACACAGAATGTACAAGATCTGCACTGAACAATAATGCAAAAATAAATAAGGGCTGCAGCATATAACCAGCATATGACATCTCACTAAGGAACACCTGTGGTTCTCAGGCTGGATTTGTACTGTATTATGAAGCATTCCTAACTGAGACACAAAAATCAGGTCTGTATTTACATTTGTCTGCATTTTCAAGTGCAGTAAGGAATTAAAAGAAACCAGTTCCATACACCTGTTCTACAATTTTAGGATTAAGGAAACGTGTAGACTGTGTTTCTAGTCCAGTCTCCTGCTCAAGCAAGACTAACTTCACCTTCAGAACAGGGTGCCCAGGGCCTTGTCCAGCCACCTTCCCATCTGCTAAAAAAGTAGATTTACATATGAAGAGGTCTCTCTCTCTTCCTCTCATGGCTAAAGGACTTCCAGGAGCATCCTGGGAGTCTCAGGCACTGCAATTCCAACAGGGAGAACCACACTGCAACCTCCCCACACTCACGGTGCTCCACAAACTCCAAAGCTTTTTCCTTCAAGTGAAATTTCCCTATTGGCTATGCTGCCGTGACAGCATCAAATCTCAAGCTTTCATGTAGCCCTAAATGCCAGATGCAAATCCTCCTCTCTCCTATTTCTTTCCATTCTTGAAATCGATGAAAAAACTGTAAGCATTAATATTTTAAGCAAATGAATACTTTAACATAGAGTAAGGCTTTAACCTGGCCTAGAACAGTCTCAGATCAGAATAGGAATTTGTTGATTTGACCTAGGGCAGCTCCCACTTGCTACCACACCGGTGAAGAACAAAATTCTTTAACAAGAAAGGTCCTGCCAGCAGACTTCAGAACATTCTCACACACAGCTAAGAGAAGTTAATCCTCCCAGACTTTCCAGTTTTCCAAATCTTTACGCTGTACAGTTTCTGAAGGAAAGCAATGTACTGAACTTGGCAGAGAGACGTCTGCCAAGAACAAAGCTGAGAGCCAGGTAAGAACAGCATGACTCAGAGGCAGTTAGTTAGTGCCTCTGGGAGCCAACAACTCTTTGCAAACCGCCATGTGAAGGGCTTACAAAGGTCAGATCTGAAATGGGAATGTGGTGGAGTGAGGAGAAAAGAGGAACAGAAACATTTCTCTGCTTCCTCTTGTATTTACTTGACCTTTGCTAAAATTACTCATTCAAACTTTTCATCCCACACAGGCCAGACACAGACACATGGTCTTACCAGTGGTCTGTGCTTCAAGTTTGTTGAATAGATCTCTCCAGGCTAGATCTTGGAAGAAGTTGTTGTATCTATAATCTACAGACCCCAGATATTTGGCCACTGGATGAGAGCCTAAGGAAGAAAGGAAAACAGGACAGTTGTTCTTCCCAGCACTTCACATAAGCATGATTTTTATTTGTAAGGAATTAAACTCCAAAATCAAAATTACACTAGACATCCCAGAAATAAACTTCTTCAATTATAACCAAGTAATTTAGTGCAGCTTATCTCTACAAGAGCATGCAAACAGACTTCCCAGCAGAGACTGCTTCAACACACTGATATCCTTCAGTTGACACTTCCCCCTTCACCCCAACAAATTAAATTTTAGAAGGCCAAAGAAAACGGGACTGGGAAACTGCTGAGGAAATAAATGATTTGGAAGACACAGAGGCACTATGACTCTCCATCTCAGTCTCTCAGCTTTGCAAGGGGCTTTCCCAAACAGCCCTTCCTGCCCACAGACTGCACCACACACACCATGGCTAGGTCACCTCTGCCAGGAGGAGCCAGACCCCTTCTTCCCAACATCATTCACACACCACAGGTGTTTTGCAATACTAAGAGGCAATTGCCCTCAACCAGGAAAAACAACCCAGGGAGCCTTGTTTAATCGGTGGAAAAGGGCTATGAGCTCAATAAATGCACTGCAATTAAAGACAGAAGACAGAGTCCAAGGATTACAGCCCCCAGTCAATGTTGGCATATGCATCAGGTCCCTGCTTGCTCTAGCTAAGCCTCATGGCTCAGCTCTTCTGTGAGCATGGAAAGACCTCCTTGCAGAAGCTTTGTGTGTTCAGTCTCCAGCTCTGGATGGAGATCTAACTTTATACTTACACTGAGCAGGAGAGGGAAGGTGTTTAAGTGACAAACTCTACCCTGGGAGGTGGCAAATTTTCATTTTAGGCCACCTATGTCCCTAAAACAGACAGCACCCTCTTGCAACTACCTCTCCAGTCTTTCAACATCAGAGAAAAGGTGTGCCAGGATCACACTTCCCAGTCACCACATGGCAGTCATGCTCAGCATGAATCCTGTACATTTACAATCAGCCATGAAGCAGCCTCAGAGTTCCTACTAATCAGATTATTTTTATCTTTCCTGCATACGAAATTCTCACATCTTCCATTCTCACATCTCACACTTCCAGAGGCTGCAACAGTTGAGTCACCAGCTGGTAACTGGTAACCTTACAAATTCTCTTGAGGCGACTCCAGTTGTTTAACTATACTCACTGTGCTCCAGTAAAGACTATGGTGGAAAAAACCTGCGAATTTTCAGGGGAAAAAAAGTGCTAATTTCCAGACCTCCACGAAAGGTTCAAGCAGCAGGTCTCTCTGAGCTCCCCTCATTGTCATGCCTAAATCCTTTCCCGGTCCCTCCTGATCATGGCTACTTTCACACCCATCATTTCTTTTGCAGTGAACTTTTAAACAGTGCACACAGAACAGCTCTGCACCATGCACTGGAGAAGCTTTCCCACATGCTGGGAAAACACACTGCACCTGGCAAATGCAGTTAGAGACAACTAAAAAACAGGAGGTCTCCCAAGAAGTTCTATCCACAGGAGCTAAAAAAAATGTTAAGATACCTCAAACAGCCAAAATAGCCCCCAACTTTTTATTTTATTTTACCTGCCCCTTTTCAGTTGTTTATACAGTGGTTTGGACACCAAAAGAGTCTTCCAGCCATAGAATCAGCAGCATGAAGCAGGACTGAATCTCCCAGTACAGTTGCTTACAGACACTAAGCATTTCTCATTATTAATAAACCACTGTCATTGCAGAGTGTAGTTGTGGATTCAGAAGGTAAAACCACCTTAGGAAAAATTCCACCATCCCTAGTTCGAAAGTATTGATAGCAGCACAGAGGCTTTTCCTTTAAGACATTTATGGCACGGTCACCATTCTGTCTTTGGTGCTTTTTCAATTGTCAGAAATGAGAGGTTGCTCCTCAATCACTTTAACGAACTGCCAGAAGGCTGGCCAGAAATAAGCTCTTGATTTGACCAGGAAACACTGCAGACTTCTGTGGAAAAGGTCCTGTTAGAGAAGTTTCTATATTTGAAGTACATTTAAAAAGGATTCAGAGTTCTGAAGCAGTTTCATTATCAAAGTGCTTTGTTAATTTTTTCTTTTTTTTTTAAATTACGAAACAAAGTTTTATGATTAAAAAGCCAACCCAAAGCCACGCTAGCTGAACCTTGTGTTTCACTTCCAAAGAGAGAACATTTTTCAAATCATTAATGACTGCAGGACAGAAAACTCTTTTTCTGAGGCCAGGAGACAGTCAGCAAGTGAGGATCAAAGTCTCAGTCACACAGATTCTCATTCAAAGCACATTGAACCTTGCAGAAAATATTTTTTTGTTTTTAGTCCCAAAAGGGCTCTCTCTTCTCTTCCTGTCAACCACTTTGGAAACTAAATGCCTTTCCTTACAGAAGGATCCAACTTCTACAAATCCTACCACTGAATCAGCAGCCTATCTCCACTGTTCATCGTGCTGGGTCACCAGCTTCTGATTCCCACAGGAGTTGCCATCACCTGGTCCCAATCCTAGAAGATTGGAAAACATCGAGAAAAAGGCTTTTCAAAGTTTTCTGCTGCCTACATCACCCAAGTGCTCTGTTCACACAAGTCAAGACTTGGACTAGACCAGCTCCTGGCCTCATACCCTTACCACACCAGCACTGCCCAGAGGTCCCTGCCCACAGCATCAGTGACTGCCTGGCTTCCCAGGCATTGCCACTACAACATTCCTTACGTTTCTGACTAGAACAAGACCCTTAATGTTGTTATCAGTCCATTCCATTTCCTTCAACACAGGCGACTGAAGCTGGGTAACTTTCCAGCCAGGCAGGCTTGTTAAGCTGCTTAAAAGGCAGAGATAAGGTGCAGAAAAACTGAGGGAAAAACCTGAGGAGAACAGCACGTAAAGGAAAGGTCAAAAGATGCATGTAATCTGAATAATTAAAATTCTCAGCAGTTTCAGAGCCTTTAAAAAATTTTCAACCCCTTCTCCACTAACATTTTTGGAGTCAGGCTCACAGAGGCCAGAACAGTTATCGCTTTGGGAAACATGGTGCCCAATGAATTTAACATTTTGGCCAGGGAAAGAGCTTCTAGGACATTATTCTGTGCATTTATTGTACCATGATAAAAAGATATATAAGAATCTCTCTGTATGGGGAAGAAGTACTTAACCCCTTGATTCAAATGAAAGGTTTACAAGTAGACTTTGGTATCAAGAACGTAAAGATGAAATTCACTCACGCAAGAGCAGCCAACACCAGCATTACACAATAATACAACAGTTTGCCTCATTTAACAGACATACATCTATAGCCAAAGCTTCCAGAAAGCCTTCTCCTGAGCAAACACAGCACATTTAACCCATTCATCTTTCTATGAAGAAAAACTGTTCCTTATTTACCTAGAGGGATGATCAAAAATCTCATGTAGCCGAGCCAGTCGGGAGTTTTGTGAGACAGCTGCTCTACAAAGAGCCTCAATACAGCACTGAGGTAATTCTGGGCTCCTGCCACTGCAATTTTAATTGGGTTTGGAGGCTGTGAATTGCAGTTACAGCTAGACAGAAAAAGAGGAAACATATTTGTAATCGTGTTTCAACCACATATTTCAGACCAAGTAACAAAAAAAAAAAAAGGTTAATAACAATTATGGCAGAAGAGAGTTCCTTCAATACAAAGGGCAATAGCACAATGATAATCAGCAGCTTAAAGCATTATTAATAAAATACACTTCTTCAGTAGTTTCTTAATTGGTCTCCTTGCTTCTTCTTTCACACATCTGGATCATCTAAAGGGCTAGACTCAACTATCTAGGTTAGGATGTACCCTACTGCTACTAGCTGCTGGGTCAGAGAACACTCTCAGGTACCCACAGCTATCAGCAGATAACTAAGGAGTGCCTTGAGGAATTAATTTGGGAATTACTTGGAGGAGGAAGCAAGAACTATTTAAAAAACACTTATTAGTTTTTCATGCTTTACTGCTGCATGTATCTGAGCTATGAGGCAGCCTCCAAAGCACAACCTTTTATAGTCACTGGTGTGGGTGACTTGCATCCCCCCACACATGGCAGAACATGAACAACTTTGCAGGGTTGGTGAGGGCTAAAGAGCCACACAATTCTGACCTCAGGAGAGCAGGTTGGAAGAAGTACTGAAAGGCAGAAGCTTCATCCAGTAGTTGAGAAATAAAATCCCTGGGCCCTGGGGCACAGGAACTGAGAGGCTTTTAGAGCTGAGACAAACAACACAAGCAAGGTGAGAACTTACTATCTCTGTATCCTGGAGACAATAGTGCTGAAAGCTGCCTGAATATCAGCAGAGGAGCATGTACAGACCACTGGCAATGTATGCTTTTGCAAGACATCTGATAGGTACTGAGGAGAGAACAGAACATTATATAGTCCTTTTTTGGTACAGTTTGTCACAAGAAGAAAACGTGCCTCCCCAAACCTCCCAGGTCTTCTCATACCCAAACTTGGGCTCTCTCCCTGTGTCTGATTTGTGATATGGCTGTTTCTCAAACACCTTGTCCTTGTGCAGCAGCCAAAGGAAAGCTTTTCCTCTAGAAAAATGGAAACACCTTCTTGACAGACAACAAGACCATATCCCAAACATAGCAACAACAACTCCAGAACAGCACAGTTTTTATGGTCACAGAGGGCAGGGCACCAGCAGAAGGCTGTTCACCTAGCAGACAGCACTGGGTAAGAGCAGATACTGTCTACTTGCCGGCTTCTAGAACTGCAGTTGCATCTCTCCCAGATTTCAAAAGGTTTTAAACAAATGCAATGTTCTGCCCACCCTTGAGCACTAAAAAAAAGGGATGGGTGCTATCAACATACATGTTCCTCATGAGGGACTGTTTCCCCTCCATGCAGCTAATGGGAAACAACACACAGCTTGTGTACACATGGACATAAATTATGGCACTTAGCAATTATCTCACACTTTTAAATTCTGTACTGCTAATCTATACAACCCAGCCATTGCTAAGTGCATGTCATCTGACACTGAAAGCACAAGCTGCCAGAACCACTGGAAGATGACCTACAATGCTTTCTGTTAATCTCTAGAAGGCATTTCTCTGTCTTCCAAGTATAGAGAAACTGGAAAGAGTAGTTCAGCTGGTATTTTTGCTCTCTTACACATTGAGACCCTAGTTCTTCCAGAAGCAGAAAGCCAAACCAGACAGTGTAACTCCAAATGCCTGGCACAAGTTCTCCAGGCAACAGTCACCGAGCACATGTTTATTGGTCCTCTGCCATACATAATTTATTGCTTTCTCAGAATAAGGTTCCAAAAGGAGAAAAATGTGTTCCAAACCTGTAACAAACCACCCCTTGTTGCCAGCAAAAAAAACATACTGCTCAGGGTTCTCCTTAACAAAACTATCACTCAGAAAGGATGGGGTGACAGACCTGCAGTCAGGAATCATGAGTGCATGTGCACAGCTACGAAGCTGACCCAAAATATTTTCTCCTGTGTTCACCACCTGCGTTTAGAAATCTCAGCCTAAACCACAGGTTAGACCTCCCTGCTGCTTTTGTTCCATTCTACCACAGTTTAGAAGCAGGCTTTTAAGTGCAAGGGTCAAGCCATTCCCAGTGTGCTGCTAAACAGAAGGAATGGTACTTTATAGAAGAGAAAACACCTCTGTGGAAACATTTAGGTGGTAAAAGCTTTACAAGACCCACAGCATCTCGAGGTCAAATGAAATCCAACCTGTAGGCACTAAGCACTCAGTAGGTTGCCAGCCCCCACGCACCACCACTGCTCTTCCAACCAAGCAACAGAACCTACTTGGTTAGTGGTAGAGCTCAAGGCCTGTCCATTCCTGAGGAGGAACAGCGCAGGAGAACTGTGCTTCAGGTAACGTCTCCTGCCTTTACCTGGCCTTGCCAGTCAGATGTATTGACAAGAATAATGTTTTCTGGCAGCTGGTCGTCGGAAACCAGGATGTGATTTAGTTGGTCATACACTGTTTTCCTGGGGATCTGGAAATAAAGACATGGAGAAGAGAACAGTAAAAGATGTCACGTAACCATCAAGCCATCAGCTCTAGTTCTTGCAATTCATGAGAGGTGGCTGTGCATGGCTGGTCAGTGATCCCATCAGGAAAGGCACACTAGCAGCACATGGGACTGACACTCAGCAGCTTCTTCAGTATTAGCCACCTTGGACTGGTTGGCCATTACTTCTTCTGCCATGCACTTTTGCTTATATCACTTTATACCAACTAATAGTAGCCCAACAATTTAGGATTCATAAAAGCCAGGAACAGTCTCCTCCAAGGAGGGAAATAAGTGAGTCCTGCAGCTAATAAAAGCATGGCACATATGCTGTGCACAAGTCAGTCCCCTACTGCAATCCCTAGCAATCTGCCTTAGTTCAAAGGAGTAATTCCTCAACACATTCCTATTCATTTCTCATTCTAACAATCTGTCCCAGTGTTTTCAGTTTATGGCTGGCTGACAAAACAACAAGCTGGCAAATCCCAGCAGACTGGATGGAAGATACAGTTTTAGCCAAGACATAAATTCCCTCCTTCCTGAAGCTACAGGGCCCAGTTCCTTTCCAGCAGGGACAGAACTCGGACCAGAATGAAAAGGACCATGGGAAACAGTTGGAAAAGAGGAAAAACTATGGGTGGCTGGAGAGACAATAATCATTTTAACACCTGTAAGTGGTGCCGGGTGTCTGGAGAGCGCTCATTGTCCAGGCTGTTGGCTCTCTCGTTCTGTGGCCTCACTGGTTGCCTCTCCTTCAGAGATGTGCTTCTTCCCCGACGTCCCGTCTGCTTCCCTTCAGACCTGCTAGAGAGATGTGCTTACATTCCAGAGCTGGCTCGTATCTGAGTGAGACCCACCTCCCAAATCCCAGAACTCCCAGTCTGGCAACCTCAATAATCCGAGCGAAGGCACTGGGGAATTGTGCACGTAGATCTGAGTTAGCTTGAGACCTGTTAATTCTGCTTCTGATAGTGCAGAGTGCATGGTTCAGCTACAGAGCACATTCCCAGAAGTCCCAGGAAGACTTCCACAGCCCATGCTTAGACCCACACCACTGCTCTGCTATTGCTACACCAGCATAAATACGATCCAGCCGTGCAAACTGCAGTCATGCACTCCCAAGCAGCACAGAAATACCTCCAAAAGAATATCTATTTACTTGCAAACCAGAGAAACTATACTGTTGGATTGCTGACGCCCACATTCACTATCCTATTTGGGAAGGTTTAAAGGTTAGATTTGACAACCAACCACCTTTCATGCCAAAATCAGCATCAGATATTGACTTAGCAACAATATCTTTAAGCAAGTAGCTCCAGAGTTCTATAAAACCTCCTTGGTCATGGAGCAGGTACAACACAGGAGACCAAAGCAGCCTCAGAGCGGTGCTGCCCTTCAGGGCTCTGAGCATTCATTTACCAAGTGCTCAACACCCATCATTCAAATGCCCAAACACAAAGAGGGTGTCCTTGCAGTCAGTGGCATCATGACCAAACCCTTGCACACTGTCCCTGACCTCCTGAGCAGCCCTGCAGCAGGCACAATGCTGTCCCCCCTCTCTCTACCTGGTGGACGGGATGATGAGGGACTCTGTCTTAGTGATCTTCCCGCTGGGTGGGAGCTTCTCAACAAACACGTCTGGTGTGGGGAGTTCAGCCTCCTGGACCTCAGCTTGCTGGTTAGACTCCTGCAAAAACACAGGGAACAGAGTTACCAGGAACAAATCCTCCCCTCTTCTCACCTGGAGAGCTTTGCTCTGGCTGGGGCACATTGAGCCTGCCTCCTCCAGACATGCTACTCACTGCCAAAAGGGAGAAGCCAATACTGGTTACCTGGGGTTACCAGTTCCCAGCTCTGCCTCACAAGGGAGCTTGAGGTAGAAAAAGTAGGATGCTATTTGGAACAGGCACTCTCCCAGCTAAAAGCCAGGGACATGACTCCTCATGAAGTGCAGATTAATTCAGCTTACCCAAATGAACTAGCAGAGAGAGAAAGACATGGGATAAATGTTACACACTTTGTGTCCCCAGCAGAGCAACTTGAGCTTTGGGATTTTTACCCCAAGAACAGTTTGATTTCTGCCAATTCAGCTTGAAGTAATACTTCTGCCCAATAGCATGGAACAGGTCTGAGAACCCTTTTCAGGATGGTACACATGCTCAGTGGCATACTTTGGGTCAGCCTTCCTCAAACCAAGAGAAAGGCTGTTTGAAAAGAAGGCCATGTAAAGCATTTCAGTTGCAAAAAGTTGAAAGACAAGAACCTCCAACAACTAAGGTCAGGAGGAGAGCTCAGCGTTATCTTCACTGCAGCTGATGTTACCCATGGAAGTTGTGTTGCACATGCAACTACATGGACAGACAGAAACATGGTAGAGCATGCAGCTCCCAGCTGACACCCTAACTGACAGGAGGAACATCAACAAATGCATTTTCAACTTACATAAGGGACAGTGTCAGAAATACTGTCTCCTGTATGTTTGGTTCCAAGACTCTTTGTCTTTTCAGGCACTTCTACCTGCTTGAGAGGAGAAAAATCATCAGGAGGTTTAGCACAAGCACAGTTTCCAGCCACACTCTCTGGATCAGGCTACTCAAAAGACAGACTTCTCCGTTTAAACATGGCACAGCTCTGCAGGATGAACAGGAGTACTTCCTGGCCACACCAGGACCAAACATATTAGTGTGGGATGTGGCTGAGCTTGTGCACAATACACAGTAGAGGCAAGGAAGTGCCCTGGAATGGGACTGACCCTTTATGCAGCCAATATGCCCATCCACAAGGGGATGGAAAAAGGGCTGAGCTGCCTCTCAGTGTTCGCTCTCAGCCACCATGAAAAATATGCCAAAAACAGTAAGGTAAAGCCTCCTCCAAACAGTGCCAAAAAGTCCCTAAAACTCCCAGGCAACATCTCTCACCCTGGCAGTCATTTCACCTGAGAATCTGAAACTAATCATACCATTACTGAGTGCTTAATACATAACCTGAAGATGTATCCTTAAGTTAATACAGTATTTGCATTAAAAAAGAAAACAAAACAAAAAACCCAAAACAAACAAACAAAAAACTGCCCCAATCCCACAAAGAAAACCAAGAACCAAATGTGTTTTCTTAGGAGAAAATTCATATCTCTGCATCCAAGTCTTTGGAGGAGGTCAGAGGGGGTGCTTTAATTTACACATGCAAATAGAGCTAGTGCAGGTCTGCTATATTACCTGCAGACAGGTAACACTTGAAACGTGACTTACAGGACTTGATGGCTCTCTCTGGCTCCTGATGCTATGGATGCTACCAATTTCTGTCTGAGAGCTGGAGTGTGACAGTCCTTCAAAATAAGGTCTGAATAAGAAAAGAAAAATGACTTCCTTAGTATCAAAAACACCACAGAAGTCCACCACATTCACAGCAAAGCAACATGACTGTTCCCAGGGGGTCTTACTGCTCTCCCCAGTGGTTCCAGTAAAATTTATAGGCTAATTTTAAAAGGAGAGGATGATCTCCGGGACAGTAAGAGAAGCCAAAAAGTCCAAGGATTTCTGTCTAGCCCTGACACTGTCTGACTGTCACACAGGAGACTATTTTTATAAAGCTCTTATTAGGAATGCCTGCACACTCTCACTCTACACAGCAAACAGCAGCTTTTGCTTTCATAAGATCCAGGGTGGGCATGTGGTCCAGCATATTCCCACAGCAGAACAGAATGCACATTGACCCCACAAAAGCATTTGTGTCCTTACTACCCCAAGCACCAGGTGCAAAGTTTCACAATGACCATCTTGTTTCATGTAGCAAATGCTGATTGAACTACACAACATTCCAGACAGGGTCTAACTCCTGACTGAAACACAGCAACTAGAATTACTGCCTCCCCTCCCGCCCCCCCCCGATACTCTGCTCCTGTGGGTAAGTGAATCTTGGTGTTAATATGCATTTTATTTCCAGCTTGCATCTGGATTTGGCTCTCAGCCCTAGGCTCCAATTACACATTTGCTCAATAAGATAAGGTAGCACACACACAATCAGATTGTGCTTCCACATAAGAGGCAGCTCATCACATCAGGCTACAAGACTCAATTACAATTTAAGGAACTGATTTTTTTTGTTGCAGGAAAAATTTGCCTACAAGCCATCAGCATTTATCACATCCTCTTCAAGATATGAACTCAAGAACTGGATGCAGCAAACCACAAAGCGTCTCTCCAGGATCAGACACAGTAAAGTTCCAATTTCAGCATTATTCCAGTAATCACATATCTCAGAACAGTTAGCTCCTTGGCTCCAGGGAACAGGATATGAACTCTCGGTGTGTACAGTAAAACATTTTTGCTTGTTTCAAACTGCTGCTTACCACAACACATCTACTTTCAAATCCCTTCAAGGTAGGGCCTACCAACTGGTAATATCTTGGGTCAAGCTCCAAACCTTTGTAAGCCACCAACCCCATCACTTATCACTGCTGCTCCAATCTATTCTCGACATCATCTGGGTCACTCCAGACTCAGAATTTATTCTCAACCCAAGTGCTTTGTTTCAGAGCCATCACAACAGTGAAGGCCTGAGCACACAACCGCACACCAGTCAGAAGGATGAGTGCAGCTCAAAGAGTCTCATGTCTTCAGTCATTATTGGGCAGAGATGTGACACAGGGCAGGGATGTGTCACCCCCATTAGTTCAGGGTTCTGTATCTGCTCAAGACCCCGAGCCAGTGATCCCCAGTTCAACTCTACAGTGCTGTGATTGACCCACACATCAGTGCCCACAAAAGCCCTTTCAGAACAGGCTTGAGTGTATCTATATGCACTGCAGTCAGCGCCCTTGGGCCCTGAGGAATTAATTTGTTTTCTGCAGTTCTGTTTCCTTAATCCTTGCAAAGGCTGTCTTTCCACACAGGGTATTACCAGCCTTTCCAGAAAGACAGTCTGCCTTGCCCATCCCTGCCACTACTTCTGCAGCTTCCAACAACACCATCTTCTACCTTAGCACACATTTCCTATCTGTTTCTACCACTTCCTCAAAACTCTGCCTGCCTGTCAGCAGTTCCTACCCCTGTGCTCAGGTGGCAGGGCAGCATAACATCTGCAAAGGGAACAAGGAAGAACTGACACACACACTATCCCAAGCTCACAAGCAGTCATTCCCATTCTCACAACCCACACTAGGGTTCCAATGAGGGGGAAAACCAGAATGGAGGTGTGGGTATGAAACCAACATCTGATCTGTGCTGACACTGCACGGTCTCTCTCTGGCCCAGCATAAGCTGCCTCACACTTACTTTAACTTTGGCTTTGGAGTGCTCAAGACACTGTCATCATCCTCCATTTCTGGCCCGCTGTCACTGGGGTTCTCTATATCCAGTGTGTCATATAGAAGGTCCAAATCCTCCTCCACCTCTGGAACGTGCTCTGCTGGGTCCTGCTCTGAATCCAGAACCTACACACAGGACAGAAACAGGTATCACTGAGCCTGTCAGGAGACAGATTGATCCCACATCACCTGTGCTCTCCCCAGGACTGCAGTACATGGTCCTGGGAGTAAGATTCTATTCCTGGAGCTTGGATACTATATCTGACAGGAGCATTAAATATGAGAAATGCATGTTTTGGATCAAGCTTGTCAGTGTCTGGTTAAGCAGGAGTTTCATATTGGACTAGACATCCATGAGCAAGCCATTTAACTACAGGTTATGTCCATTATTCAACTCCATTCTATAAACAATGCTTTGAAAAGGCTGTAAGGGAGTCCCAGTTTTCTTAGAATCACCACAAAACTCCAGTATTCCCAACAGCGTAACCGGTCTTGGGTTTTACTGAAAAAGCTGCCCTGACAACTTCTCATTTGATACCCAAAAATGTCCACAAGAGGCGCCTGAAACCTGGACAAGGATCCACTGCCACCCACACACAAGGCAGAACAGACACCTCACGCTGAACTTTCCTGGTTGCTTTGCACATCCTCCAGAGTAAGCAGGGAGCTGTGCTCAGTTCAGAGCTTGCTTTTTGAGTGGCAGCTCTGGAAAAGTGGCAGCTCAGCTGTCTGAGCCCTTAGCTATGGGTGCTGACTCTGCTGAGCTAACTTGGGAAGAACAGCAAAGCTAACAGGACTGTTTGAAAGCATAAGGAAGCACGAGGAGTTACTCACTCTTTCCCACAAGCCACAAAATCAACACACGGCCAAACAGCCAACTGAGTTGTTAACTGTTTTTATTAGACACTTAATGTTACACAGGGGTTCTGGATCTGTTTCATCATTTTCAGCTATGACCAAACAGCTGACTCCTGTGGATCTGTGCTCCCTGTCCAAGTTTTACATGTCTTGCCTGGCTGTTCTAGTGAGATGATCAAATAGGCTGGGATTTAACTTCACAAGCAACATACACCATAGACTATTTGCCTTTGAAAGGGTCAAAGATAATTTCAAAGCAGTCTGCAAAACTAATGGGTACACAGATGGCTGCCAAAATCTGCTTTTGATAAAACTTGATCTAGAAAGTGTTTGCTGACATTTAGAAGCTGGCCCTCAAGCCTCCATGCAAGGCCAGGGTGTAAGGAAAGGTCACATCCACTGCAGACTTAAAAACAAAATGAGGGAAACTATGGGAAAATGGGAGAGTGTTTCTGAAGACTAAAGCAAGATGTTCCAAGCAGAGGGCAACACGGAAGACAGGAAGGCTTACAGAATTAATTACTTACCTCATCAGACACTTTAAACCTCTTCAGCAATGCCACAACCTTCTGTTTGAAGTTTTGTTGCTGTAAGTTAAAGACACTTTTACATAAGTAAAGCATTACGTGAACTGTTCTCTCTGTCTGCAAGAAGCCCAGACACATCTCACACTGGTGCTCTAGCTGCTGCTTCAAATCAAACAGTTCCTGGCACCACAGACCACATCTCTGCTCTTCTTACGTTGAAATCAGCTTTTCCACACCTATGATAATTTCATTCCTGCATTACCACAACCTAGGTCCCACTCCACCAAGCAATATAAGTCTCCTGGCCCTGACAGATGGCACATTGCTCTTGGTTGGACACACAGGGGATAATAAATCATTTTATCTGCCAGATCACCTCCTATACCTATTCGACAGATTTTTGGCAAACATTTGACTGTCAGCTTTTCTGATTCATAAAAAGGGTGAGCCAACACAGGCATCCACCCACTGACCCAAAGAACAACTATGTTTTTTACCACCAAAGCATGGATTTGGTTTTTTTGCAGGAGCTTGCAGTTCATTCTGGCAGGTTGAACTATTTGAGTAACAGCACTGGAGAAAAGCTGTGAGGCTTGTCCTTAGCTCTTGTCCCTATCACAAAAATGCTTCCCAAGTCATAGCCCCAGATCCTAGACACAGCAAAGACCAAGTCTAAAACAACACAAGCCAAACCACTGCATTTCTTTTGTCTTTGCTTGCCCCTAAGAGCCCCCTCTTTTGCAGGATGAAACAGCTGAGATTTACCATGAGCTGCCCAGCCCTTCTCTGCCTGTCACTGACCAACCCAATATGCACAGTGTGAAAAAAAGGAAGATGAGAAGGGCCTAGGTTTGAGTGCTGGTACAGAGCTTTTGAAGCGGCATCCCTATGTCAGAAGGAAAGGGGGTAGAAAGTGGCTGGTACCAGGACACACTTAGGTGAAGAAAGTTGTTCACTTGCTGGCTCTCCTGTATCTCTCACGAGCTCTTCTTGCAAGTCCAACTGCTCGCTCCCACTCTGGCCTCAGACAGTTCATACAAACCCATGTCTTCAAAACTAGCCCTTTACCTCTCAACTCACATCCTGTGAGCTGCAGCCACCTCCTAGACAGCTGAAGTTTAGGGGGAATAAATGCCCCAGACTCTTCAAAGACTGCCCTATTTCTGTCTCCAATGCACCTGTGAGGCCAAGATGCTCTCATGATAGTGAGGGTTTTCCTCTGGCTCAGGACATCAAGCAAAATCATCCATCACACAGATCACCTTGGACCAGCTGGGCAGTCTGTGGAGGGAGGACACAAAATGCAGTAGCTAAGGTGACATGGCAAGAGCTGTTTGCTAGCCTGAATGGTTTGACAGCAAGGAGATTTGGTTTGGAGCTGCATTGATGTTAACTTAAGTAGCAGCACCAAACCCAGGTTTGCACCAGTTACACACACTGGAGATTCAGTATCAGTTCACAGATCAGGGCCAGAAAGACTTTCCTATTATGAGTTGGTTCCTTAATAACCAAGTGGTGGGTTTTGTCCTGGCTGGTCACTTACACTTCAAAACAATACTAAAGACAACAAGGATATGAACTAGTACACTCCTGGTCTCATAGAAAGGATCTTTATACCGTTAGATTTAGGTCAAAACAGGGTTTATTTCAAACCTTACAAAAATATGAATTTCAGAAATAGTCTTACAGGTGGTAGAATGATCTCCAAACTTAGTCCTAATACCAAAACCAAAACTAATCCATCCTGGTGATTCTGAGTTATTGTCATCACTGACATGCACAAACACTGCAAGCAGAAAGCTGCATTATGGACTGGTCAAGCACAAGTCCCTGCTCCATACAAGTGCAGCATTGCAGGCATACTTATGCTTGTATGAGCGGGTGGATAGCTGCATGCATCCTTCCAAAGCATCTATATATTTAATATCCAGCTATTTGTTTTGCCTCAGCACCACATGCAACACCTCACGTTCATCTGTCAAACTCCAGGCCTTGACTAAGCTGCTTCATTTTGAAACCCTCCTGCTGGTCTCTCCCATGCAGAGCCCAAATAGAAGAGCTTTCCTTCAGTTACAGCTACTTTCAGGACTTACATGAGCATGGATCCTGCACTGTCTTCTTCAATGGGAGTGGAAATTCATACCTTTGCATGATTTTTAGAGCTCCTTAACTTTGCAGCCAAAGGACACTGAAGACAGCACATGCACACAACTTGGATGGTCCCACTCCCTGAACCGGCTGCTTTTCCTAGCTCTTTGCATGCTGTGACAGTGCCCCCAAGCTCTCTGCAGGGCAGCATGTCTAGTACTGCTGCTCCCACAAGCCACATGCACTGCACATCCTGGCCAAACCCCGTCAGTGTTAGTATAACTAATTTCCACCGACCCTGGTTATGGACGTCGTTCTTACTATCGATCTCCGCTGCTTCTTGGGCTTCCCCAGCTCGTACTCATCATCATCCAAATCCTGAACAGAAAGAGGATTCCTGTGTTACCTTATGATTCTGTGACACATGAGCATTTAAGCACTAAAAATGTTCCTTCTATGAAGATGAACCTGCTGCCCTGCCTTCCAGGCATTCAGCGTTTGCCTTAATTGCAATTACAATGGTAGAGGGAAAAAGGCAGTTATTCCAGGTCTGCAGACACAGGAATAACAGCTTCGAGAAGCAAAACAGCCCTAGTTTTACATTCAAGGAACAAGGACAGTCATAACCCCACATTTTGTTTGGTTCCTCTCTCGGTACCCTCCAAGAGGTGGAAGGCAGGTGATGCCAGAGTCTGAAGGCAAATAAGACCCAAACTCAAAAGCATCTCGCATCTAACCAGTGAGTTCTTTGTAAGGACCTATTTTGCAAAAGGTATTAAAGACTAAAGACTGCCTCAGACCCCACTGGTCCTTTAACTACAACTGGGGATCCAGTTGGGCTCTTTGAATCCAATCACTACTATAGAAGCAATAGTCATGCCTTGACCATTAAGCAGAGAAACACAAGGATACTAATGTTTTTTAAGGGAGATCAAGTCCAAACATGTGAACAGATAAATCACAGCATGGTAGAAGAAATGGGCTGTTGTGCAGGCTTTCTCCACAGCAGCTAAACACTTGGTAACAGTCTCACACTGGTATGGTTTAGCTAAAGAAACAGACTTTTAGTTTCAAGCATGAGCTGAGAGTGTACCTGCTCTACTGAGCTCACAGAGAGAAACCATGCCCTAAACAGTACCTGGCCCTGTACGGCATCATCACTGGCCTCCTGCTCAGAAGAGAAGCTCTCGTACTCTTCCTCGGAATAGTTGTCTGAAAGGGAAGGAAAGAGGGGAGAGATCCTGTGAAACTCCTTTAAGGTGAGGACATGGTCTCATCTCAGGAGCAGAAAAGGCCGAGTCACAAATCAAGAAAGGAGGCACACAAGGAGAAGATAAACTAGCAGGCATCTATCTGTGCTAGAACCAGGGAGATGGGAACTGTCTGGAGGTAAAGAACAAGGAGAAACACTTCCAGCAAGAAGGAATGACCAGCACACAGATAAGGCTCCTTGACACATCACCTCAATTTACCCTGGAAAGGATCACCTGGTAGACAGCAGCAAGTAAAGAGGTTTCTCCACAGGTGAAATTACTTCTTCCCCCTAACATGGGCATAACCAGCTTAAAGGACCAAGTAAAACATGACAGGAGAGTCTAAATCCTTTACTGAAATGACACTTCAGGTGAGCCGCCTTGACTCAGGCAACAACACACAAGCACCTGTGTGAACTACCTTCAACAGTTCACTCTTGCAGCAGTGAGCAGAAGCTGGTGCCATGTAAAAAGATGATCACAAGTAGAAACCCAATGTCTTCCCTATATAGTGCACAACACCATGGATTTACACTCATTAAACCAGGCCATCTACGCTCACTAAACCAGGCCATCATCCATAGCAAAACACGTTGCAGGTTTGCAGGTCTCATCTAAAGTTAATGAGATTTATTGTAGAATACTCAAAATAAAAAGAAGATGGAAGAGGAGCTTAAATGTGAATCTCCTGAATACAACACTTATCCAGGTGAGAAGCTACAGGTTCTCAACACGCCCACCAGTAATGCTGGTAGAGGGTTGTGAGAACACAGCTAACAGCTGGATGGCTCAGGCCTGGTCTGGTATGCAGGAGAAGCTTTGACAACTCGATCCCCCACTCCTGTCACACTCCCTGCTTGCACAGCAACTCATTTGCAAAGTGGGTTTTCTTTGTATTAATCAGTTATAGACACAGCAACTTGTGCAAACCAGCTCTCATTTGTCCCAGGAAGCATCTAAACTCAGGTGGGGTTTAACTGCAGCTGGTTCTGGAAGACACTGGTCCTCAGAGCATGTGGTTGTAACTCTTACCTGTAGACTTGATTTTCTGGCTGGCCTGCATGGTGCTGTCTTCATGGTCGATTGGCTGACTGGACAAGGAGAAGATCCAGATTTCTGCTACCTTCACTGCAGCCTCTTTGATGTTGCTGAAAAGGCTCAGAACCTGGCCACCTTCTGTTGGGTGCTGCATGACCTGGGACAGAAATTAAGCTGTAGAAATCTGCATTTAAATGTATTTACACTTGCATCATTTGCATACTACAAGAGTTATTTATGTTAACACAGTCACTCCACATTTCCAAGAACAGAAGCAAGTCAAGAACTGCAGGAGCCACTTGCAGGCAATACACAGTGTTAGTTGAGATTATATCTGACTACTAATGAAAGTGATGGAAGGAAAGAAAAAACATTCTGAGCTTAACAGGTGATTAGCTCATCCCTGAAGCACAGTACTTGACTACCTCATTACTATGTATAGGCTTCCACGGCACAGTACTGATTTGAATTATCAAGTCACCCACCTTATGAACACCCAATTAAGGAACATAATTTTGTCTTAAAGCCCTGCAGAAGAGCCAGTAAAGGCAAAAATTCTTGGTGAGATACAGACGTCAAGTGCTTCCTAAAGCAAAAATCCCTGCTCCAAAGAGCCAGTCCATGAATCTCAGAGGAACTGGCTACCCCAGTATAATGAAGCAGTAGGTCACGAAAAACAAGACGGTGGAGGCAGAGAGACATTCCAGTGAGGGTTCCTCCTTCCTTTGCCACTCACAGGGCTCTCCCCAGAATATAAGTCTTCTGTTCTGCTCTTGCCCCACCAGAGTCAGCAAGCATATCCCCTCTCTTGCACCTCGGCTTTCCAACATACACCAGGCTGCTTTGTCAGCTCCTCACGTGGGTCTAAACAGACCTGAGCTGACGAGGAACACATGCCCTTGCCCTGAAACTCTGCTCAGACCCTCAACTCCAATTCGCTGCTTTGTTTCAACAGATACAAGAACTTCTTTTTTTTTCTTGTTTTTTTAAGGAATGAGTCAGTGCAGTTCAGGGGTCATTATCCTATAAACTGCAAAGGGAAGGGGGGGAGCTTGTAAAATTTGTTTTCCTTAAGACTTCAATTTCATAAATATTCCAGATGAGCTGGAGAGCAACTATTTCCTAACATGGTGCACCTTTGAACATTTTTGACCTTCTGATCTCAGTCAGCTGACATTACAAACAGGCATAAGAGAAACCACATGCAGCAGCAGCAGCAAATGTCCAACACTTAGAAGTTCCCTGATGGTTCTAATTAATGGGCCCACATGTTTTCTGCCTTACAGCAGTATTTAATTTCTAGTTCTTCAACAAATCCAACACAGTACAGGAAAAATGTTAGCTGCAACACCACAAACTTGGCCAATTCAAATGAGGAGTTCACCATTTACTGCAAGACTGAGGGAAGATGAACTCACAGAAGAGAAGTCGTCCTTATAATGAATTATTTAATATAGTAATAACTCACCACAACATAACACCAGCTTATTTTGGATAAAAATGATTTGTTGACAAAATGCAGTCTGATGAAAAATATTGGGATTAAGCTGGACTTGCTACTGGTAAGCCCACCCCAAAATACTCAGAAACAGAAACAGCAGACATTAAGCAGGGCATGAAATAATGAAGCATGGAGCTACACCATTCAGAAAGCCTTAGTGAATAATTTATCCCTACTTGATTCCAGAATTAACTTTATCATTTACTTCTCATGAATAGAACTCCACCTACATTACCAACAGCCATGAAATAAGAATGGCAAAAGGTGTTTTAAGCAAAATGGGAGGAATTACTTAATGCTGACCTGTCATACTGTTGCACTGAGAAGCACAGCAAACTTTGCTTTAACTTTACCATTTCTCAGGATTCAAAGGCTTGCCCAAGTGACCCTATCTGTCTTGTCCTGCACTTTTGATCTGGACCCCTAACTCTAAAAAGAGCCACAAAACAGTAACAAAACCCTCACAAGGTCATAAGCTAGCCTTGTGAAAGCTTTAGCTCTCAAGATACGATGCAGAAAACACTCAATATTATTACTCAGTAGTAAAACCCGTTTAAAATATTGCTCTGTGAATATTGATTACAGCTATTACGACAGCTATATGAAATCCTGCCAGGTACTTTTCAATGAGGAAAATGACAAAAATGAGTCTGAAGAGAAGGGAAAGCGTCCACCTGTGTAAACAGAGACCATGTCAAGTGCAGCTCACCTCAGCCATGTTGATAGACCCCACAGCCAGAGTCTTGTAGCCTAAAATGGTTCGGTTCTTGTACCTCTTCCGCCGCTGCAGCATGATCTGAAGCTTGTTGCCTTCTCTCTTCAAGAAGTGAGGGTACTGCAGTGGGGAAACAATGGAAAAGTTCATTACTTTTCTTGACAGTATCTCCCAAGCTACCTGCTCCACAAGTAACTTCCACTCCCAGGGATGAATTCCAGGGCTTTTAGAAGCACCTACGTCAAACTCACACTCAGTGGACAATCCTTCATTATCCCACAGAAGACTTCAGCTCTGCCCAAACAGCTCAGCCAAAGCACATCAAAAACACAGTCCAGGGCCACAGAGGAACTGTTCAATTTGAGAAGGGCTGAACCCAAGCCTGGTTTCAGGGAGACAAGTAGCCTTCAGGAGACACTTTTCCCAACAGCTAAATGGAGGCTGCCCAGAACTGGAGCCTCAGAGGTGCCTCCTGGAGCACAGGCTGCCCTGCAAACAGTGGACAAACAGGACATTCCCAAGCGAAGGCCGCTTCCATCGCAGGCAAGACCTACTTTTTCTTTTTTCTTGGAACATTTTGTAAATAATTTCCTGCCCATCAAAACACTTGACAAATACAAATACCAAATGCCACCAGAAACCCCTCAGATAATAATTTGCAGTCCAGAGCAAGCCTGACTGCTCTGCAGGGAGCTGGGAGCAGTGGCCACACAAACAAGAAGAATACTAATTAGCTGAACGCTCTGTAAGGGCAGGATCTACTGCTCATTGCCCAAGGAAGCAACCCTGCAGAGGAGAGGAACAGCACTCCCCATAATTAAAAGACAACCTCAAAACACACAGTGCCTGTGACTTTACAGATGTGCAACATCCCTAAACAAGGATGGAAGAAAGTTATTAGAGGGAAGTGGCAAGAGGGGCTCAAAAAGTCAGAGGCAAGGCATAAGGTTTGAAGAGTTGACAGTGCCATATGAAGATAGTGGCTGCAGCAAGACACCAAAACCTTCTTCGTCTGTGACACCCCCATGCTTTTACTTTGTGGCTCATCCCACCACCACTTTCAAATATATCCCAGGCACTAAATTCAGACTGTAACTGAATTAAGCTGCAGTTGTTAGCTAGGAGCAGCTTCCAGCTGTTGTTCAACTAAGTAACAATAAAAGTTGTCATAAAAATCCTGCTATCCTAGAATGCTTCCCAAGCCTTACTGCATCCAAGGCAACCAATCCTTCATGCAGTCAGTCAGAGATCAGCAGCACATCTCTGCTTTAAGCTCACTCACCTCTTCTAAGCCTCAGTGTCACGGACATCACTCTCTCCTATTCTGGCTCAATTCCCAGCCCCGTCAGGGGAAACAGAGTTAAAGGCAGTGCTCTGCATCCTGCTGCAGCACTGCTCTGAGACCCAGAAAAAACTCCAACTGTATTCCCAATTAATTCCAAAAAGATCTGCAGACTCGCTCCTTGCTGACACAGGACTGGCAAAGGAAGACCTGGCTCATCTTACAGCTCTGCTCCCAACCATGGGAAACCTGCAGCCGCAGGACCCAGGTGTGCGTATTCCTGGCATGTAGCTCGGTTATTCCTGCTCACAAAAGAGGGAATGCAGTTAACCCAGTCTGAGCTGCATCAGGACAGAACCAGAAGCATGAACCATCTGTGTATCTGCTTGGGTAGCTGCAGGGTTATCATCCATCTGCAACAAAATCTTACCTGCTTCAGGTCTGCACAGGTCTGAGTAACAACCAGACTCACATCATCGCTTCAACCTCTCTCCTTACCAGACCAAACTCCTGAAGTTGATCTAACCAACAGTCCCAGAACACAGATAATCGAGATTCTACATATTAATGCTTCTGAGTGTCTGTCTGGCTCTGCTGTGTTCAGGATCTTCTCTCACTTGCAGCAAGCCAGCCTCTACTTACCCAACTTTCCTGTTCAGGAGGTAGCACCAGGGCAGCAGCACACTCTGAGGAAAAGAGGAACTAATGAAATGCAGTGGCTCCAGCTCACAGCTATTTCTGTGACTCTAGAGCCAGCAGTAACTATAAGCACACTGCTCCTGCCTCCACAAATGGTGCCTCCTTTGGTAACTCCAAATCAGAAGTTCCCCTGATTCATTCCTACTACTGCCTTCTGTCAGACTGGTACTCCATGTCACCCCCACGGCTGCCATCCTCCAGTGCCTACTCATAAAGCAAGCAAAAAAGGCAAAAAAAGAGCCATCCTGTTTTGTTCCAGTTCCTGTTACGGACATTCCTGTCCATAACTTGAAGAGGACAGTCTTCATGTTCCTCTTCCTTCATGGTTATCCTGGGCTCCAAAACCAGGATGCACACCAAGGAAGGTCCCCTAATACTGTGAACTAGCACCCAGCTTCAGGCCCTCAATGCTGAGAGGCAATTCAAACAAGTTTGTGTTGTTGCACGTGAGAACATGCTGAGGATCTTCACCTCAGACCCACAACACATCCCTGCTCACTGCAAGCACAGACGTCCCGCCCTACCTGCAGGGAGAAGGTCAGTGCAAGCTCTGTCTCCACATGTCCACTCGGGGGCAATACAATCTCGTGAGACCGCAGGATGCGCTTGGAGCCCTGTACGGAAACAAAGTCCCTCGGGTGAATTCCCCAGAAGCCAGCCCTCATATCCCACTCCAGTCCTATTTACTGCAAACCAGGAAACGTTGTCAGGGACTACCACAGAGAAGCGAACGGATGGGTCTGCCCTTGCACTTCTGTGAAATATTAATGAGACAGATATTTGACTAATAAAGATTTGGGCATATTTACTGTCCCTAACTGCAACAATGCAGCTTTTGTTCTGTCAAACCCCACCACTGAAAAGCTGTGAGTCAACTCCCACCCCTCCAGTTGAAGTCTCATATTTTCACTTCAGCCAATAGGTACAAGGCTCATCTCCTGGGTCTGGATGCTGCAGCATTATGCTTAAATCCCCAGTGTTAACCACGACAGACTGAGTTTTTCTGTTTGTGCACACACCCCTCCCTGGGGAAAGCGGAGATTTTAACCTGTTTAAACAACTGCAAGTAGCTGGGGACATAAAAGAAAAAAAAAATCCACTAAGCATCTCAGTGGAGTCTGGAGACCTAATGTATCACAGGGCAACTCCAAATCAGCCCTGTATGTGGGCTGCCATATATTAACAGAGTTACTGGGCTATTTACTGTGTGAGCGTTTCATCTCAGGGAATGTTTGAGGGAAAATTAGCAGGAAAACATGACAGACTGCTGCCTAGCAAACCCTTTTGCATTGTTCAAACACAGTGGCAAGTTTCAGAGGTCTCTGGCTCAATGTTCTGCTGAGGCTGCAGATCTGGCTTTGTCCAGACAGGCTGATCTCCCAGAAGCACAGAACTGTAGCTCTCAAAAAAGCAGCATCTGGGAAATCAGAGACAGACTGGGGGGTCAAACACCTCCAAGCTACATCCAAAGGGAAATGTGGTCTGCTCATATCAGCCTCAAATAGCATCATGAGATGAGACAGCAACGGAGATTCGTTTACATCCCTTCTTCCCCAAACGCATCGCTCAGGCAGCCAGAGCAAATGCTGTGATCTGCAGTGGTGCCTCAGCTCCTGCACAGCACCAGCTCCTCCGTGGAAAAGCTGAGGTGCCTGAGCTCCAGCAGATCAGAGGACAGACAGCAGAGCAGAGTGAGGGACCGAAGGGCTGTCCCCAGGCCAAGCAGCACATGTGAAAGCAAAGCACAGCGAGCCTGGCCGCTGGCAACAGTGGCAGCTGCTCCATCTGTGCAAAGCTCCTAATAGCAGCAATCTTGCTTTACTGGTTATGCAACCTGAAATCTAATGAAAGACCAAATATAGTTGCTTTTAAAAGACCGCAGCAGATAAACAGAGCAACAGCTTGGGAAATACAGTTGACAACTCTTTGAACATCACTGTTCAGGAGGCTGCAAGGAGACACGGGAAATGTAGGTAAGATGCTCTCATTAGGTCTGAATTCAGTCATCCTCTCTGGAAGGACTCCGGTGTCTGACACCTCTCGTGCAATTCCCCACACAAAGGCAGTGAGTCATTTGACAGAGATCATATAGTTGATGATCCAGTATCACCAGGTTCAAACAATAGCCATGTCAGAAACCTGAGTGCTGGCAAATGAAGCATCCCTGAAAGAGCTTGTCAGCATCATAACCTGCAAGCTATAAAGGGACTTTTAATAGCAGGGCTTCAAACCTACCTATGTCTGACAGCTGCACTGCTACTGACATCACATCCCAAAGAAATACAGGTGCGGTCCCCCACAAGGGACATCCAAGGTGAGGCACTCTCTGGACATTCCAGCCACTGTCACCTCTAGGTCAAATGGAAAGGGCAAAATAAGGATATCCTGGTGATGTGAGCTGCAGCCTAGGTCTTGGCAGATACACATCCTGAACAGGGCAAGTCCTTCTGCTTTCCAGTTCCTCAGGGATCTGCCCTGGTGTGGAGAGGACTGCTCAGGTTTCAGCATCTGAATTACTGCAGCCAGGCAGGTCACAACACATACCCCAAAAGCCCCATGTGTTAAAACTCCCTCTGGACTTGCAGGTCTGGGGCAAGCTTTCACCCACAGAAAGTGCAAGCAATCAGCATTAACCTGGACAAGAAAAGAAGGTTTTGCTCCAGTAAAAGATACTGAATTCTCCAACCCACATCTGACATGCTCTGGGTGTAGATCATTCACTGACAAGACTCAGGTCCTTAGAGTGATGCATTCACCATCTAGGAGCACAAACATATGGAAAGCTTTCAGCCTTGACAAGCAGTATCTGTCAGCCTGGAAACCCACAGCGGTGCTTCTTCCAACGTTCCTGCAAATCTAGGTGCGTGAAGCAATTCCCTGCCTTTCTGCTCACTGCATGGGTGCATGAACCTCCTCCAACACAGAGGGGTACATTTTTACCCCAGCTGGATAACTCACGGAGATGAGAGATACCAATTAAATCCTCAGCTGCGTGTTTTTGTCCCACAGATTTTCACCTTCCAAGCTAGATTTTGTGTGCTTTGACACAACCAGATCTCTGCAGGGGTTTGCCTAGGTTTTTATTTGAAAAGCAGCAGCTTTTCCAGCATGGTTAATGGTATTTTTCTACTTATAGGACTGCTAGGCTTTTACTCGTTAAGCACTTTAGCATTTGCAGTGGTGGGAGCACGTGAGCCGAGCTGATGCTGTGACGCACGGTGGAACCGAGTCCCCTTCCTTCCCAGCCTGCCTCCAGGCAGTGTGACCTACATGAAGGCACCTAATTAAATGGCACAAACGTATGCTGTAAAGTGGGTTATTTACCTAGGATGACAGCTGTATTTCAGGGAAACAAATTAACATGTACAGGCAGCCTACAAATCCACTGACAAGGACCTGGCTACGGACTCAACAGCAGAGCTGCCCACCAGCAAAGGAAGGCCCACACTCCAGACCCCCCAAACCAGGACTAAGTTACCACAATGTTCATCCCCAAAGTGAGTACGGTAAATATAGAACCAGGCTTGGATTTAATGCCAGCTCAGGAAGAAGAGGAGAAGCATATGAACTGTGAAGAGCATTTTTACATGGAAATAATCTCATGCTGAGCCATCAGTGAACAATATTCTTTGCTTACAACAGTGAAACGTGGTAGGGGGAAGGGTCAGAAGAGACTGCACTCATCCAGAATGCCCTGACAGACTTGGGAAGAAGTTTGTGGCCGCAATGGATCTTATGTGGAGGGGAAGCTCAGTTTGGGCATCTGCCAGTATTTTTAATCAAACAACACAATTCTTAGAACTGAGCAGCAATTACCTGCATTTTGACAGCAATGACCCCAGAAATAAGCTCCTTATCCAATTCCTTTAAGACTACCAGTTTCTTTAAAGTCAAGCTGCACAACCTGCAAACAGGAACAGAAAAGAAAGTTACAATCATGCCTGAAAAAGGAAAAGCTCTGAACAGCTTTTACATACAGCATTATCCCAGTTTGAGGGTGAACAGGCTCTGGACACAAGCCACGCACTTATACAGACAAAGACAAAAGAAATATATGAGGCTTCTCTGGTTTCTCAGACTGAATTTCTCCAACTTTTCATAAATACATCTCTGATACAGACCCATGGCCACATGAGAGCACCACATAGCACTGACTTCCACAGATCACAGCCTGGGAACTCTTGCCCCAGTCAGACCAAAAACTTCAGGGTCAGAGGAATTAAATTCCAGCAACATAAAAGCATTGGGTCAGTCTAATTTTCAACTCATCTACAAAGCTCCTCTAGATTGTTGGCTTTTTCAGTTTCAGACTCCTGGCTCCCAAAGATCTTGCTCCCACCTCCTGTCAACCCAGGAATTCTCCTTCTCATCCTGAAACAGAAGTGTAAGCAGCTCAGGCATCTCTAATGGGAAAGGGGGAAAAAAGGAGAAAAAGAAGAAGAGGACTCAAGTGGTGCCCTCTGGCCCTGGTGTTCACATGGCATGCATATGCAAGTAAATCACATTCTTTACCCAGGCAATGCTACATTGTTCTCATTAAAGCTGTTTGCACTTCCAGTGCAGGGAGTTTGAGAGCAAATGAAGTTCGGGATTTGGTGCAGCCGAGTTAAGGCTCTGAGGTAAAGGGATCACTGTATTGGCACTGCCACAATTTCACACAAGTTACCACCAGCTGGGAGAACTCAGAAGGCATACCCATTAATAAACTTCAGGGAAAGATAAACCTGAAGCAAAGGCAGCTCAGTTTGAGGAGAGCAGAGGCCAGAGAAAGTTGCTGGGTGGGCTTTAGTGACTAGACATCATCTGTCACACTGGCCAGGAGCCAGTATGTCTGGTCTTTGTGTGTCCAGTTCCTACTCCACGGCATGGGCATCTTTGGCCTCCGACATGCAAATATTAGCAGGCTTCAGCATGACTCCTGAAATCCACTGCAGAGCTCTTTCTCCCACATCAAGAGTAACATGAGGGGTGTTCATTAAAGGCTGAAGTCCAGCAGTAGATGGGAAAGGAAGAGGACCTTATGCTGGATTTAGGTGCATGACCAAGAAGCACAAGTGCTATTGACTGAAGCCTGCACTTGAACTACAGGACTCCACACTGGTGCCAGGATACCAACAAGTCAGTACTGCCAAGGGTGACTTGAACCTCCACCACCTTCTCACCACAGTGGGAAGCTGAAACATTGCTTTGCTGCAATGCCTCAAGGTTGACATGATCAGCCTGGGTGCAAAACTCCAGGGGAGATGTAGCTAAAGGCTCTTCCCGACAGAAGCTGTGGTAGATGTTGAAGCAAGTGCCGCTTGTCTCATCCAGAAACACTCTCGGCTTCGCCTGAACTCTGGAACACTGCTAGCAACAGGGCAGAGCCAGTCTGAGCTCTTACGGGCTGCAGTCAAACACCTCTCCAAGCACATCCTTGCCAGCCTCTTTTCCACCCCAGCCCATGCCATCTGCTATCCCCGCTCATTTGTAAAGTACTGGTTCTTGCTATCAGCCCCCTAAAACCAAGAGAAAGAGATCTACAAGTTCTCTTTGCAGAATTTTGCATCAGAAGACAGCAAAGACAGAGATGCTGCAGAAATTACAAGGGAGGTGGGAAAACTGGGCCTGCCTGGGCCTCTGTCCCCCTCTGTCACACCCCCAGCAGCTGTGTGCAGTGACACTGAGACAAATGTGTTGGAGATGGCATTGGGTGCTAGAGGAGGGCCGGCAGAAGAGGGCAGGACAACTGCAGCTGGGCTGGGCTGGCGGAGGGGAACCAAGCGCCCTTTCCCCACGGCCGGAGCCTCCCCCGAGCGAAGCAGGAGAGACCAGCATGTTCAACTGCAAACCCAAGCGTCCATGGGCACTGGAAATCTGGGAAAGATGAAACTGCATCCTTCAACCTGGAGCACAGGAGAGGGTGCTCTTCATCCTGAACAGAACGGCAAGCACAGGCACACGTGGCTGCTGCCATGGACCAGCCAGGCCAGGATCTGGAGGAAGGAGGCTGTGAAGCCGTTTGTTTTCTTTGTAATGCTGTAGCTGGAGGACAATTGCGCTCAGCTTGCCAAAACCCACAGAGACTGGGCCAGTCAGGTGCTGAGAGCAGAGGTAGGACAACACACTGGCATTGTCTCAGCTGACGGACAAGGAACAAAGGCCTTTTCTCTCCAGCCCCAAGCCCAGAATGGAAAAGGTACGGGAAGAAACAATGATGTTCTCAGCACACACAGCAGAGCACAAGGAGGGCGTTCTGTTCTCCACTGGGCATTCCTTCAATTCATCATTTATGAGCTTTGATCAAGCCCTGCGGAGCACTTGCTGCTTGGGAAAAAAAAAAAAAAGATCAGAAAAACAAAAGCAGTTAAAAAAGACATGGGACACATCTGCTTTCTTTATCCCCCATGGCTGGGCTGCTGGTACTAAAAGGCACTTCACACAAAAAAACAATGAAATGTTTATCCTCTCCATCAGCGGGGGTGTGTGGGGGGATGGATAAAAATCAGAGTTTAAATCCCATCAAATCACTTTTACCCTCAACATACTCATTGTTTCAGGTCAGCTTACAAATGAAAGCAACCTTCAGAATATGTGGCAGAAAGGGGCCATATCCTACTCAAATCATCACAAAAAGGTATATACCAAGTGTGTCAACTGCATCCAGAGCCAGTGTGGTGTCCCTGCCATCAGCACAAGGATCCTGAACTACTCACACGCACAGGCACAGCAAGGATTCATATCATAACCGCCTCTGATAATGGTGGCACCTCCTTACATAGACTTATCTTTTGCCTTGGTTTTGCTGTAAGTCCATCAAGTCTTAGGGATCAGGAAAGGGACCAATCTCAAAACCACTTCTATCAACAAGCCTGTTGAGGTTAGATGCTGGTAAGAAAAACATGACAGACACAAGTGGATGTGCAAAGATCCACCTGGTTACATTCGGAATAAAGCTACATTCAAAAGTTTTTAATATACATAGACATTCTCTGTGAACACAGAAAATAACCTATCATACACACACAAGGGAACTGAGGAAGCCTCAAGTCTGGATCTGAAAGAGCCTATAGTATTTTGAAAGCCTGCGACTGCAATACAGGAGGTGCAGAGAAACTTTCTTTGCATGTTTGTTTCAGCAGTGACCTACAGTTGCATGGGGGCAGTTAGCTAGCAAAAGCACAGAGTTAGCTGAAGCAGTGTTAAATAAGGGCAGTGGAAATCTGAGAGTCAATATTTCCATCCTTATTTGAAGGTTCATAGTAGATCTCCCTGCTAGGAGCACAGCTGGGTCCCACACAGCAGCAGGCACTGCCTGCTGAGGAGCTGTGTCCCCTCTGGTTGCTCACGTGCCCCTCGTGGCAAGCAGGCACAAGTTACTTGCCTGACCCCATTCTCAGGTTAACAAATCATGCCTAATGCATTCTGCAATAGAACTCCATCTTTTTACATCACTGCTGCAAGAACACAGTTTTCAAGAGGAAACCTGGACCTGACCCAACGGTTTCAACTCGCCTCACTAATGTAAGTCGTGCCGAGCAGCTTCATCATGAGCTCTTTGCTTAAGGAGGCAGCTATCTGCAAAAACATCACATTTGGTAACAGAGATTCAGCAAACGTGTCCAGAACAACAAATAAAGTGTCACATTCTTTACTCACTGGATGTTTTGCTTTTGCATCCCTCTGCGTAGGAAAATCAGAAAATAAACCCCCTCCAAGAAAGAGTCTGCCTCGCTGAATTAAATGCCTGTTTCTCCACAGGGAGCACAGTAATTGCAGCAAGACCTCGCTCACGCAGAGACAGTCGAATCAACAGGAAGGAAAAAGTAAAAATTAAAGACCTGAATTTTAATTAAACCCCGTAGAAGTAGAGAATAATAACAGGATGCATCCATAGCTATAGGGGACTCCAAGTGCAAGATGGGAGCTGGGGCAGGAAGACTAATACACAGAAATCTTTTGTCCAAGTTAAAAGCTGTGAAGATATTGTCCCCAGAGAAAGTGTTTCATGCCAAGAGTGCTCTCCTCCGAGGTCTGAAAACCTCGATCAGCCGATGGCTATAAGGAAGAATTGGTTTCCGTTTGGCCACAGAACAGTTTCACCTCATCCAAGTTATTTTCAGCATTTCAGGACTAGCCTCGTGCTTTCAACATCAACTTTGAGTGTTTTGCTCTGAGCTGACATTTTACACCCAAGTCAGTCCCCCCGAAAAAAATCATGAGCCACTCGAAGGAGAAATGGAGGGAGACACCCGCCTACACATGCACTGGCCCAGACAAACAGAGCCATTCTGCACACAACTGTGGGGGCGTCTGTGCAGGAGAGGCCGGAGTGAAGAGCCCTGCACAGCAATTTTCGAAGACAGCTGTTTCAGCAAGGTATGAATGTATGCAGTGCACAAACAGCCAACTGCATAAGTTTCTTGTGCCTGCTCCACACATGCCCAGGAAGAGAAGAACAACACATGGATGAACCTGTTGTTGCACTTACATGCTAAAGGCAAGGTTTTGTTCTGGCTTAGGAGTTAGTTTTGGGACAAAGCAGGGGAGAAGTGCTGTCCTCTGATGCAAGAGTGGGGCCTCTGGGCAAGGTCAGCAGCGGTAGGAGCTGCTGAAAGGTAGAAAGATGCTTCTTCACTTTCCAAAGCTTGATGTGCTAGTTTCATCAGTGATCTAATCTTGGTCCCATTCTCAGGGAAGCTCCAAGGCAAAATGAAATTAAGAGAGGAGGCAGAGGTCAAGCAACCCAATTTATGTCATGTCAGAAACATAACCTGAGCAACCTGCAAAGAAACCCAATAGTCCTTCGTTCACACTTTGCACCAAGCTAACCTTTAGTCAGCTGTTCTAGCTACAGATCCATTCAAGTAAGGTTTAACCAGCCAAGAAACAATTGCAGAGCCAGTATTTCCATTGTTCTTTTTC